TTTGAATTTTGTATTACAATAATTCTTCATAAAACAATTCTGGTTGTCACACACAGCACTTTCACAAAAGAAGCAAGAAATGATAGAGGTAGGTTAACAACATTTTGAGTAAACAATGAGAAATGTAGGCAACTGCCAGTCACTGACCTATCATGCAAAGTAGTGAAGGATTCCCTGAAATTCAAAAAAAAAAAAAAAAAAATCTTCAAGATATTAATATTATCAAAGCATTTCACATGCTAATTTTTACTCCCTCAAATGTGGAAATTACCAAAGACCAACAAAGATTAGCCATTATTCCTTAAAATATCAAAATATAAATTCTGTACATACAATGGATTTTATACGAAAGAACCGTAGTGACTTTTCCCATGTTCATCTGCCAGCCTCAGTGGCAAGGTTCAAATTAACAGCCTATAGGAGTCCATATGAGTACATAATCAAGCATTTGTTGATAATTAATAATCTTAACCATATTCTAGCGTCAAAGACTAGGCTACCTAATTTAGATTAGTAAAAATATTAACCATATTCTAGAGTCAAAGTCTAGGCTACCTAATTTAGATTAGTAAAAATATTAACCATATTCTAGAGTCAAAGTCTAGGCCACCTAATTTAGATTAGTAAAAATATTAACCATATTCTAGAGTCAAAGTCTAGGCTACTTAATTTAGGTTAACTTAAATGAAGATATAATAGTTCACATATTATTCCATACCTGCAGACCCCAGGATGTAAGCCATTTTTAGATTATCCATCATATGAGGTCCCCCACATCGTAAGGATAACGCAGAACACCCCGGACAAAACCCGTTTTTTGTTGGAAAGCACTATTTTCGGCCTAGCTCTATACGATGGTAGTGGATAAGACCTCCTTACTAGACTGTAAATAGGGTTGAAAGCCCTTTGAAAATAGGGTGTAACATCGATTTGTGGCAGACAGGAAAGTATGGGCTTGGCTTTCAAGTCGTCAGGTGCTCTCATCCCGTCAGTGAGTGAGTAAGTAAGGAGCGGGCGGCCAATCACAGTGGCCGGCCCGCAGCCTCCTCCTCTGTCTCGGCCAATGACAGTGAGCATCTGCTATCTACGTCACGGCCCCTCCAGCCAATGGGCGCATAATCCCTCTCTCCCTTTCCCTCAGTTCTCTTTTCTTGTGGAAGGATCTACACTCTGATATCAATTAAAGTAAAAAAGCCATAAGTGGGTGGCAGTTTTATTGCTTCAAGTCAACACTGCAACAACCCAGTATATGTACATTACTTCATGATGTGCTACCTACCTTCTGCAAGTACAGTCCTTTAGCTTCAAAATGCATCAAAAATGAATGCTGTATCTCAAAAAAAACAAAACAAATTTATGCTTGTTAGAAGTTGGAAAAATTTTAAACTGTAGTTGATATAAACTACCAGTTATACATCATTGCTCATGCTGTCTTTGTCATATATCTTACCACAAACTGCCCATCAAAAAAGTGGCAACGTACTGTAATACTGTAGGTCACGCAGTCAATCAAATCTAATTCACCATTCATTAGAAAAGCCATTGTACATGCATGGAGTGAAACTGCCTCATTGTTTTACTTCTAATTTTTGGCCAAGGAATGAGTATACTGAATGTTGGGAATAATATAAGGATATGCATTGAGGAAATGCTGAAGGAACCTTCAGCACCTTCTTGGTGGTGGTATACAGCTTACTGGATATAGATACAGAAGTATTCTAGGAAGAGTTGTCAAAAAATACATTGCTTTCAATACAACAAGAGAATATATATATACTGTATATATATATATTTAAAGATTAGTAGGGTCATTACCTAATACCTGACCATTGTGGACCTGGTCTCACCCTCCTCTGTATATATACCCTTGTTTTGCAATTCCCTTTAGTCTGTACTCATTCCTGAAGATGTGAATTACACGAAAGCGCTTGGGAACTTCGTGTTTTCTTCTTTCCTTGTGGTTATCAGCATATACCTAGATCACGCGCACCTACAGTGATTTACTGTACTTGCATATATATATATATATATATATATATATATATATATATATATATATATATATATATATATATATATATATATATATATATATATATATATATATATATATATATATACAGTGGCCCCTCGGTTAACGAACTCAATCCGTTCCAGAAGGTCGTTCGTTAACCGAAACGTTCGTTAACCGAAACCATTGTTTCAATGGGTTTTTGGGTAATTGGTTCCAGCTCACCGAAAATTTCCTAACTTCAACAAAAATGGCGGAAAAATTTACTTACTTTGAGGTGTGTATGTAGAAGGCTCCTGGATGATGGTGATGATGTGCATTTGAAGTGGGAGGTGCAGGAGGAGAAGGGAGAAGAGAAGGAAGTGGAGGTGGAGGAGAAGCATTTTACTGCTTCTTGGAAGGTGAGTCACCTTCCATGAAAATGTCAGGAACCTCTGGACTGACAGATTCTCCACCATGAACATCCTCTCTCCTTCTTGAAGTGGAAGGCTGAGGGCTAGCATCTTGTTCCCTCTGCCTTTTACTGAAGAAAGTGTCAATTGTGGTCTGTGGGGCATCTGTCCTCCTCACCATTAACTTATGTTTAAAGAAGGAGACCACTGAGTCCTCAACATGACACAAAGTTAGTTCAGTTTTTCCACTTCTGGGTGCTTTGAAGCCAGTTCCCTGAACTTCTCCCAGTGGTAAATCACATCTTTCAACTGTTTAGCTGACATATGGTCATCACTTTCAATTTCCTCCTCACCACTGTCAGCCTCTACCCGTAACATCTCATCCAGTTCCTTCAAGTCATTAGGAGTAAGTTCCTCCTCATGAGACATCACAAGCTCTTCCACATCCTTCTCCTCCACTTCAAGACCCAATGACTGACCAATGGACACAATCTCCTGGTCCAACTCTGTGTCATCCTCAAATCCCTCAAAATCATGGACTACTGATGGCCACAGTGCTTTCCATGAAGAATTGAGGGTTCTATTGGAGACTTCTTGCCATGATGACACAATCAATTTTACAGCCTCCAGGACGTTGAATTGTGTCTTCCAGAACTGTTTCAGTGTTAGTTCAGGATCAATGGAAGTTGCCTGATGACACCTCCTAAACATTTTCTTCATGTACAACTTCTTGAAGTTGCTGATCACATTCTGGTCCATTGGCTGTATGAGTGATGTAGTGTTTGGAGGCAAAAACAACACTTTCACAAAGTCAAATTTATACTCCAAATTTCTGGCAAGGTCAGGGTCATGACCAGGAGCATTATCCATGAGGAGAAGAGCCTTTAAAGGAAGTTTATTGGTGGTTAGGTAGCTCTTGACAGAGGGGCAAAACACATCAATAGCCCATTCATTAAAGAACTGTCTTGTCACCCATGCCTTACGGTTGGACTTCCAATAAACTCCAAGCATTGTTCTTACCACTTTCTGTTGCTTGAACACCCTGGGGTTTTCAGAGTGGTAGACAAGCATAGGCTTCAGTCGGAAATCCCCTGAAGCATTGGCACCAAGCAATAGAGTGAGACGGTCTTTCATGGGTTTATGCCCAGGTAAAGAGGCTTCATCCTTGGTGATGAATGTTCTTTTGGGCATCTTTTTCCAGAACAGCCCAGTTTCGTCAACATTGAACACTTGCTGTGGAAGATAATTTTCTTCTTCCATCAGTTTTTTAAATTCAATTAAAAACTTTGCTGCCCCTTCTTTATCAGCACTAGCAGCTTCACCATGCCTAACAACACTTAAAATGTCACTTCTTTTCTTAAATTTTTCGAACCAGCCTTTGCTAGCCCGAAAATCTTCAAATTCTGTTCCTGAAGAACTAGGTTGATCTGTCTTTAAATGTTCATAAATCTCCCTGGCTCTTTCACAAATGAAATCACCAGAAACTGAATCACCTTTCATCTGTTTTTCCCTAATCCAGATGATAAGTAACCTCTCAGTTTCTACGATTAGGGATCTACTTTTAAACACTCTTGTAGATTTGTCTCTCACGTTCACTTCTTTAAATTTGTCTTTTTGTGCAAGAATTGTCGGCACAGTTGATGCCGACATGCCATATTCTTTGCATAGCGCATATGATTTAATGAATTGTTCGTTTTTTTTATTATTTCCTGCTTTATTTGGATTGAAATTGCTTTTCTTGATTTCTTAGGCCCCAGGCTGGATTCAAACAATGTCAACACGTATTTTTCAAAGTTAAACTAGCTGTAAATAAAGAATATTTTCTTTAAAATAACACTGCACTGCACTATATATTGTCAATATGTAAAATAAATTTCAAAATGACCAATAATTTGCTTGGAAACAGAAAAAAGTGTTTAGTTGAAGAGTCTCAAGCAAGATGTTACCTCCAGTGAAAACAGAGAGAGACTAACTCCTGTTTGCTGTGTTAAGAGGCTGGATGCCGCGCATTAAACTAGTCACTTTACCTTCAATTTTGTTCAATAATTGTTAAAATGACTAAAAGATTTAATATTAAACTTTTAAAATTATTGAATAGTATAAACTTCTTGATATTTACAAAAATAGTAAGGAATTTAAGCCCTAGAACCGATTAATGTATTGGCGGACTGATACTAAAGCTGGGTGCCCGGTCAGTGCAAGCGAAAACATGTTGAGGTCGGTTCGTAAGAACTTCGTTAACCGAATTTTTTTTCGTTAAACGAATTGAAGATCCTTTAACGAACACCTCGGTTAACGTAATTTCACGGCGCCATCAGCTCGATGAACAGGCTTTGTGTGAAATATAACAGAGTCTAGAACTGCTTTTAGTGTCCTTGTGGGCTAGCCGGTAAGCGTTCCCTAGTCCCACCCAGTAGGTCGAGGGTTCGATTCCTTGCTGGTGAGGTCGTTGATATATATATATATATATATATATATATATATATATATATATATATATATATATATATATATATATATATATATATATATATATATATATATATATATATATATATATATATATATTGGTTATAGCTAGTAATTTAGTAACTAACCTTGTCATATTCAATTTGTAGGGCAGCAGCTTTCCCTCTCAAGAACTCCTTCTCTGCACACACATCCCAATATGTATCATTATCAATCATTCTCTCCTTAGCAGTCCATAATGATTTCATTGCAGAATCCAACTGCTCCTTAAGTTTCTCTTTTTCTGACTTAAGTTCTTCATTTTCCTGACACCTTAAAAAAATAAAAGGCTTTAATGATTTGAATTACCGGTAAAATGTTCTTTTATATCTAAAAAATAAGTATTTCATTAATCAGACAAAAATATCGAGGAGGCAACTATTTATAGTTATCAACAAGGTTCTTAATTATATCTGGTTAAATATGAATAAAACAGGAATATTCTACTCAAATATAGAACACAAGATACAGTAGGGTCGGGATATTTAGCGACTTTATATAACGATTTTTTTTTTAATATCGCAGCTACCAAAATTTTCAACATTTTCCTATATATACAGTGGTCCCTCGGTTAACGAACACAATTCGTTCCAGAAGGTCGTTCGTTAACCGAAAATTTCGTTAACTGAAACCATAGTTTCAATGCAGTAAAGTACACTTACTTTGAGGTGTGTATATAGAAGGCTCCTGGTTGATGATGATGATGGGAATCAGAAGTGGGGGTGGAGGAGAAATCACCTTTCAGGGGACCCATGCTTGATGCAGTATTTTCACCAATAAAATTTTAAGTTCACTAGGTGTAATTCAAGATTATTTTCTTTAAATCAACACTGCGCTATGCTATATATTATCAATATGTTAACTAAAGTTCAGAATGACCACTGGAAACGAATGTAAACATAGAACAGATTACTGAATTGGCAGACTGGACCATCAGCTGACCAGCTGATGCTCACAACAAAACGTGATTTTCGTAAGGATTTTGTAAATCGAATTTTTGTTCGTTAACCGAATTGAAGATTCTTATGGAAGGTAATTCGTTAACCGAGGGACCACTGTACTGTATAAAAAAATTTAGTAGTTAGCCTAACACAAAGGATAGCACAGTCTAAATAAATGTTACATTCATATCTAATAACGAAATCATACAATAAATGTAACACTTTACCTTGAAAAAATATGAATATAACTTGATGGGGGAGAAGGGTGATGTTGAGGTTGATAACATCAAGCTTCTCTCCAAGTGTTATAGCCTTTCTTTTACGATCACCAGAACGCTTCTTGGAAATATTTAATTTTCCAAATTCACATTTAATACCACAAAATTGGAGAAATAGTAAGCAAAAATCACTAAGGACGCTTCAAAACAACCCGCGTGTTTCAACTGATCATGTAATGGAAACAGAGAGCGCGGGTGTAAAACGCTATTAGTCCGCACCACGAAACATTTTTTTTTTCATGCAGTATTTATGGGAATAGCTAAATTTGCAAAAAAAGGATGACATTTATAGAGTCCCTATCAAATAACACTTCACAAACAAAACACATGAATCAATTGAACATGTGATGTCAAACGTGAACTGTAAACACTGCATAATCCCGCGCCAAGCGACAGTACACTTAAAACATTTGAGTGGAACGCGTTACAGTCAACACGAGTTCGCGTTTTACAAACATCGTTCTTCTATTCATCAATCGCGTTATAGCCAATTCGCGTTGACAAAACACCCGTTGTAGCAGAAATGACTGTACCCAGAAAATTCCAGGGATGAGGGAGATTTTCCGGCTTTGAGAGTCGTCTCGTTACTCGGAAAGCTCTTATTCCCAGAAGTGCTCTGCATCAATTGCTGCAGCTAATGGAAACATCACTTATCTATATTACTGTCCATATCCTACTAGCCCTAAGCTAAGCTAGACTGCAGGACATTTCAATGATTCACACACACAACCTACTGGCAATTATGGAATACCGTACAGTACTACTCTAAAACTCTTCATATATATTCCCCTTTTACCCAAATATTCTGTAATTCTCCTTCCACATTGACATCTATTTTAACCCACACAATAAATTCTTTTACTCTTCCTCTGCACTAGTCAAAAGTGTAATTTCCAAATGTCAAGTAGCACTCACCTTATACATTATTTGCATACATACAGTCAAGATATATGGAATCTACAAGAATGACCTGCTTAAAATGTACTGTATTGTATATGCCAATACATAGTTACAATGTAATAAAAAAAATTACAATGTCTACTTACAATATCATATGCTGCTTCTTAAGATCTTCTATTTCACTTTCTTTCAACTGTAGGACCTTCTGGCAGTTATGCAACTTTTCAGTCAGGGTTGCAATTGCTTCATCAACTTGGATGTCATGTTGTTGCCTTTGTTCCTGAAGCAGCTCACGGGACAGTTTTAATTCTTGTAGTTCCTCATTCTTCTCCACAAGAGAAGAACATAGTTGTTCATTTACTGCTTCCATATCCCCAAGTCTCTTTTGCAATATTGTTTCGGCCTCCATCAAGTTTGCCAAACGTTCACTGCAATTGCCATACCAAATATGGATTCAATGACGAGGAGTAGGATGGAAATAGAAAAATTTATGAAAAGAAGAAAAATGGAGTTGCCTTGCATACAGGGGATGAAAAGAAGAGAGGAGAAAACAGTGGAACTTGGGAGGAATATGTAATATTCTTGGCAGGAGGATATGGAAGAGCAAAGCATATACGGTGCAGTATAGTAAAAATAATTATAGAGAAATAAGTATGTATGTAATAAAAGTTAAGATAGGAAGGAATGATAAGTGTAATGTGGACACTGATCAGAGGACAGATTGTGTGCATAACATCAGGTTCGAAGACCAAAAGAGAAAGAAGCATTTAGAAGTAAAGTGGAGGAAGTAACCAAGAGAGCAGACCAAGACACCATTGTCTATGTAGCTGGGGATTGGAATGCCTATGTGGGAATAAGGCAGTTTGTAAAAAAAGAGTCGGTAGACATTCATGGTTGGGCAACAGAACAAGAGGAGGGATAGATTTGGTTGAGATGCTGGAAAGACAAGCCTTGGCACTAGCAAAACCCCTTATTCAAACAAGAGGAATAAAAGAAGGCAATACAAAGAAGTGGCAACTTTAGGCTTGAGATCAATCCGATAATTGTTAACAGCAGATAACTATGATGGACAAGGATTTGAAAAGCTATCACAATAGGGGGGGGGGCATAATGCATCCATGTATAATCCAGTGGTGCTTAAATGGATAATTGGAATGGGGAAAAGGAAACCACAGATGAAAAGAAGGGTAATTAAGTGCTGGAAGTGTAGTGAAGATGAATGGGAGATAAAGGAAGGCAGTAAGGGGGTATGCTAGGAAACTGGGAGTGTGGAAGAAGTATATTGAAAACCTGTCAAGGAAGCTAAAGAAATAATGAGATGAAGTGGAGAGAGCAGTTCGGAAGATAAAGAGCAAAAAGGCAACTAGAAGTGACGAACTGACTGTGGTGATGCAAGCGGCATGGCAAACAGCTGGTGAATGGTGTCTTAGAACAAGATACTGGCAGAATAGAGGAAGATGATCTAACCTAATAAGCACTTTTTCAGCAACACAACTTAGGTACAGTAAACCCTTGATAACTCGGAATTTCATATAACTCGGCAAGGATATGGTCTCTGAATGTATTATAGTAAAACTCAGGAAATGCTTAGATTTATCAAATTATCTGGGAAAATCTCGGCATATCCGGCCACCTGCATCACCTACCATACCTGTGTCACCTATCATGCATCTATGTCACCTACTATGAAGTTTCATCCTTTGTCTGTAGTGCTGGTAAGTGTTACTTTTTTTACATTTAGTAATTACATGTAAACATATGTCGGTCAATAATTTTTTATTCTTGTATTTTTGCCTCAATAAGTCGGAATTTGGGATAACTCGGCAAGGTCAGAGCCCCATATATGCCGAGTTATCAAGGGTTTACTAAACTCATTAAGTGGAATATTACCGTATGTACTGTATAAGCAAAACTTTTTGCATGACTGCAAGCCCTATACAAGGACGAAATTTAAAATAGGTATGGGATGGAACACCTAGTATTTAAAATAGAAATGTACAATTAATACAGTAAGTCCTCGCTTAACGTTGTTTCGGTACTACTTCGCTGAACTTTAGAGACCAAAAATTCGTTTAACGTCCCGGTGATCCGAAACTACGCCGTTTTGCATCGTCACGGACTACTTTCTATGGCGCATAACCCGCTCGTCTGGTCGCGCTACGCTCTCTCAGCTCGGCGCGCTGCCCTCACTCGCAAAACGTCACAGCGTCCTCAAGCAACGCCAAGCCAGTCTTTGTTACGACTTCACATTATTCGTGCGTGTTTAAGTGTTTTTGCTCTAAAACTGTACTCTAACCATTCGAAATGGTTTCCAAGCGCCCATCAAGTGCTACTGATGCTAGTATAGTGAAGAGGCAACGTAAGACCATTACCCTTGCTACGAAAATGGATGTATTAACCCGATTTGAAAAAGAGGGAACGTGCTGTGGACATAGCCGCTGTGCTTGGTCTAACCCCCACAACAGTGCATACTATCCAAACCAACGCTGACAAGATTAAGGTTAGTGCTGGAAGTGGTTCTTCTCTGAGTGCTACTAAGACGACTCGTACTAGAAGCACTGTGATAGAGAAGGTGGAAAAGATGCTGGCAATATGGATGGAGGACCAGAATCAACACAATGCCCCTGTGAGCCTTATGGTTATCCAGCATAAGGCCAGATCCCTGTTTGACGACTTAAGCAGAAGAGCGTGAAGGATCGGATGAAGAAACCTATACGGCCAGCCAAGGCTGGTTTCAATGATTTAAGCATCGTTATAACTTCCACAATATTAAGATGATTGGTGAAGCTGCCAGTTCAGATACGGTTGCTGCCGAGACATTCCCAACAGAATTCAAATGGATTATCCAGCCAGGAGGCTACTCACCAAAGCAAGTCTTCAATGTGGATGACATTGGACTCTTTTGGAAGAGGATGCCTAGGAGGACCTATATCTCCAAGGAGGAGAAAAGAGCCCCAGGGTTTCAAGCAGCAAAAGACAGCTTGTTGCTGCTGCTTGGTGCGAAATCTGCAGGTGACTTCAAGCTGAAGCCTACGCTGATTTTTCACGTTGTCAACCCACGGGCCATGAAAGGTTACTCTAAGGATCACCTACCTGTCATTTACAAGGCAAATAAAAAGGCATGGATAACCGGCACCATATTTAGCCAGTAGTTAAACATGTACGCCGTCCCTGCACTGAAGGAATACTATGCCAATAAGAACCTTGACTTCAAAATTCTTCTGATCCTTGACAATGCCCCAGCTCATCCTCCCAATCTCGACGACTTGCATCACAGTGTAAAAGTTGTATTCCTGCCTCCCAACACGACAGCAGTGATGCAGCCTATGGACCAAGGCGTCATCGCCGCATTCAATGAGTATTATTCACGCCGTACCATGGCCCAGCTGCTCAAGGCTATAGACGGAGAAAATAAACCAACGATCCGAAAATATTGGCGCGGCTTCAACATTCTTCATGCATTTGACAACATTGGCAAGGCATGGGAAGAGGTTTCAGAAAGTTGCCTGAATGGTGTGTGGCGTAAACTGTGGTCCGAGTGCGTCAACAGTTTTACGGGATTCACGGACTTAGTCCCAGCTGTGAATAGGGATATCCTCAGCTTGGCTAGACAGGCAGGCTTTGATGAGCTGGAATCAGAGGATATTGAGTACATCCTGGCATCCCATACAGAAGAGCTCACCAACGAAGATATGCATGCAACAATTAACAGAACACAGTCCCGTTGAAGACGACGACGACGAAGAAGAACCTCAACAAACACTAACGACCCAAACAGAGAACGTAGTTCAAAGGTTCAACGCAGCATTGAGGACAGCCTTGGTTGCGACACCGAGTTCTATAAGGAGAAGAAGATGAGTACACCAAGCAGTCAACGCTGGATTCATTTTTTCGTCGCGGGACGGCAGCAACTTCTTTACAACAGCCGGCAGCCGAGGAGGAGCAAACAACAATGGAGGAGGAGCAACCAGCGGCGGAGGAACCTCAGTCAGGACAGGAGGAGGAGGCAGCCGCAGAGTCTACTGCCCTCCTCCTCCGCTCCCGCCATCCTCCTCCTTAGCTCCACACACTCGCTCTACCACCTCCGCTTAAACTTAGTACTGTAGTTCTATATACTATTCTCTATAGAAATGGCAATAATTTTCTGTATATGTAACTTTTTTTTATCTTTCTTATGGGGAAAATTGATCCACTTAACATCGCGTTTTCAGGAACGTAGCCCCAACGTTAAGCGAGGACGCCCTGTATTTATAAATCCATTATTGATGAAATACATACAATATGGTAGATAATGACACTAAGGATAAATTAGAGTGTACTGTATTATACAAAAATGTAAGGACTGGTAAATATGCTGCAAAGAACAATAATTAAGGTCTAAAGAATATTGTGTGGCTTCTATTCAACAAATAAGTAAAATGGCTAACTATCTATTATTAGAGATGATGGTCCCTTTAAAATTACTCTTCTTAACCCCTACACCCTGATTGACATTCCGGAATGTCCATCTGGGGCAATTGACCTTCCAGAACACGTGCCTTTTCGCAGCATTGTTTGAATGCCCAGCACGGGTTATTACGTTCCAGCGTGACTATGTGCCTGTCACATCACACGCTCGGCCACAGGGAAGCTTCCTGAATGTAAGTACCTACTCTTGTTTGTTTCATTTTCATTGTTTGTCCATTTTATTATGTTGTATCAAAGTAATATTGCTATAAGTAGTGTTATGTAGTTGTATTGTAGTGTAGTATTACTGGAAAATAATGCTATGATTATGTTATAAATGTATTTATTTGTGGAAATATTATTCTGATAATTATTAAATGCTCTACCAAACACAAAGACAGCCTGGCGACACTCTGAGTGTGTGTCGCCGAGCACTTTTATGAAAAATAATGCAAATAAAATATTCTAAATTAATTATTTATCGGAAATAAGTATTATGGTCAGTAAGTATATGCATTACTGGCCATCCCAGACACAGAGGCAAGCAGAAAATGGCCGCTAAGTACGTAGTGATCACGAGCGCTAGCCATCAAAACAACACTTTCCCCTTATCTCCCTTGCCACTGCAGCCCCAGGGAAGTTTTTAGAGGGTCAATATAGTTTTCTTACTGCTTTTTTATTGTTTTATCATTTAAAAAGGCTAAAAAAAAATTTTGGAAAAGTTGATTTTTCTCGATTTACCCTGTGTGGGGGATACAGCCAGCGGCACCCTAGCCCGGGGCATAGGGGGTTACAAAAAAAAAAAAAAAAATCAAGAACAAGTATTAATATAAGCTAAATACAATATATTTTAGAATTATCTTACCTTAGACTGTTGTTGTTAGTATGTAACTGTTCAATTTCTGATGCATGAATGTTATTTGCCTGTTCCATGTTTTCCATAGCTGACTGCCATGAAATTCGTTCTGCTTCCCATTGATCCTTTTCAGCTTTGTGGCTAGATAGGTCTTCTTTTAATCTACTGGTTGTTGACATATACTGCTCTAACTGTTTTTGGAATCCATCCAGTTGAGAAGATTTTTCATCTAATTGTATCTGGGTTTCATAATTAGTTTTTGAAGCTTTTTCAGCTCTTTCTTCCACTTCTTGTAGCCTTTGCACCAACCCTTTCTTTTCTTCACTAGAAAGTAATAACTTATCTTGAAGACATTTTATTGCAGCATTCTTTTCATTTTCAAGTTCCATTACAGTATTCTGAATCAGTGAATGTTCCTCTTCTTTAGCTGCAAGTACTGCTGTGGAAACTGAAAGTTTAGTGACAACTGCACTGTGTTTCTCCTGCAGCAGTTTCAGTTCCTCCTCCAAGATGTCAACTCTAGCTAATGCCTCTTCTGCACATTCAGCACTCATCTCAAATTGACTTAATTCTTGCGATTTTTTCACTACATCTTCCTTTAATCCATTTATTTCATAATTTGCAGCTTCAAGCTTATTTTTCAAGGTATTCAGATCATCATTCAACATCTGTGAGTTACTGTTACTCTGGCTTAATTGCTCTTCCTTTTCATTAAGAGATGATGTCAATATTTCACAATGACTCTCCACTACCCTCAATTTTTCAGATACTTCTTCTACCAGTTTCTCCTGTTGTTTCTCCTGTATAATGCTATTTGCTAGCTCAGTACCTTTTTCTTTCATTAAATTCTCCTTTTCCCTTAAAGTTGATGTTACTTCTTTAAGTGATACTGACATCTCTTCAATATTAAGTGTAAGCTTACAAATCTCTTGGTCAGCTTCCACTAACCTTTGCAATTTCCCTTGGTGCTCCTTGTTAAGGTTATCTAAAGTTAATCTTTGATCTGCAAGTGTCTGCTTCAGCTTTGTGTTCTCTTCTGTAAGACCTTGTGCTTTGATGTCAAAATTGGAAATCAACTGGTTGACCTTAGTTTGAAGCATTTCAACTTGTTTTTTCAATTCAGAGCTATGATTTTCAGTTAACTCAAGAGCAGCTTGTACAATGTTAAATTTATCTTCATTTGCAGTTTTTATTCTTTCATTTTCACCTTCTAACTTCTTATTTACCTCCATTAAAGTTTCAAGGTGAGCTGTCATGTTCTCCACTTCCTTCTGACTGTTTTGTACGGAATTTTCTTGTTTTTTCAAAATCTGGCTGAGATTTGCTATCTTTTCAGTTTGTTGTTTTTCTGAAGCATCATACGCTACTTCAATTTGTTGCTTTTGTTCTAAAACATAGCTAAATTCCTGTTCAATACTCTGACATTTTCTTTCAAGACATAACACATGCTCTTGTTTCATCTCCAAGGCAGAATTGCTTTCATCAAGTGCTATCTGCAAATCCATTAGTTTCTCCTCAGTTTCATGTCTTAATGCTTCTAACTGATGAAGAAGTTCCCTCTTTTCTGACTGTGCAGCACCAAGTTCTAAGGACAAGGTTTCTATTTTTCTATTATTCTCCATTAATGCAAGTTCCCCCTTTTCTAAATTCTTATCCAAAGCTATAATATGTTCAGCATGCTGTTTCTGCACATCTTCCAACTGAGACTTGAACAGTACTTCCTTTTTGGTAAGGGCCTCAAGTGCCACTTTTGCATCCTTACATTTCTCCTCAATCTCTAAGATACTCCACTTTTTCTCTTCCAGAGCAGAGAATAAGTCTTGAATAGTGTCTTCCTTTTCTTTTATCTGTGTTTCAAGTTGTTTTTCACCTTCGGCTTTTTCCTTCTTCAATAATTCAATCTGAAAAAAAAAAAGAGATTAAACTATGAAATCCTGTTTTATGACTGAGGTGAGGAGACAAATAACCTGCTAAAGCCCCAATAGAACATTGCTTTGTCCAGGGAGTTATCTGAATTCTGGAGGCAGAACATGAACTAAACAGTTACTACATGCCCAGTAGTATTGGGATACTAAATCATTGTCCAACCCGAGTTTATTGGCCGTTTTGAAAACCATTAAGTCATACAGTACAATGGGATGAACACTGAAACCAATTGACTCATACCTTGAACTTAACAGCCTTAAATACAAGATCCATCCTTGGAAACCTCATATTTTCCTGCAATAAGGAAACCCACAAAGAGAAAGGGGAGAGATTCCAGGTCACTTACATCTTCCCCTCAGCCTTGATTTATGGCCAACAGGTTATTAATAAGTGACCTGTGAGATTCCAAACCAACTAAGAATGGAAGAACTTATGCAGCAAGTAAACCAGCCTTGCACCACACCTGAGAAATAATATCTTCAAGGAGGAGAACTAAACATAAGTACTACTTTACACTCCAATGAAAGAGTTTTCGCTCAGAAGAAAAAGCTGTATTTTCAAGAAAGAAAGGTAGTGTTCCTGAATCATATACAGTACAGGTACACCACCAATTTTCCGGGAACCAATGGTCCGGCACCTCCTTAATCCAGACAGAATTATGAGAGGGCATTTAACTCCCCTCCCTCCCAGCCAGGGTGATGGTAGTTTTAGGCTTTAAGTTTTTATCTTATAAAATGTAGCTGACTAGACTTAGCAGAATATAAATTGTATTGCTGGAATCTTTGTAAGATAGTGATTAATTTGAGTATAAACATCACTTAGTTTGCACAAGAGATAAAAAATTTAGTCTAGTGTGGTAGTACATTTGAGTATAAAGTGTGTACAGTAATGTTGCTCAAAATTATGGCTTTTTCATATTTAATTTACAATTAATATTTGTTTAATTTAATTTCTAGCAGTCCATGGTGCTTTCAAAGACAGGGAAGGTGTATAATTAGTGGGTCAGAGGTGTATTGTTGAATTATTATTACCTGACCCCGGTTGGTCCGGCAAAACGGATAATCCGGCAAGGCTTTGGAACCAAGGGTGCTGGAAAATCGGTGGTGGACCTGTACAACATATTCCCAAACAAAACATTTGAGTGGTTGCAATAAATTAAAATAAAAATATCTTCAGGAACAATCTACAAGGAGAAAATCCAGGTCTCCAATCCACCAAGGAAACAAACTTGAGACCACTCTCTCCTAAAGTTAGTTAGTCTACCTTCAAGTCCACTCTTTGCTTTGTTATTAATAAAGCCCAGAGTGGACTTGAGGATAGACTCAACATTTTTAATACAATTGTTTCTGATTATTTGTGAGAGGATTTTCCCATTACAGTATTATTTATTTGTGTGTGTTTTGTGCGTGTGTCTACATACACACACACACATATATACAATACACGTAAAGGAATTTACTGTCTCTGGAAAGAATGGTTTCCTGTCCCGGCCGCAAAAATGACAACAACTTTAAAACTACCCTTAAGACATTCTTAGGTACATCCAGGGTGTCATCCGCAAATAATTGAGGTCTGTGAATTAAAAATCTGCAAATTTGAAGGGCATGCTGTACTACCAAAGATAATATCTTAAAAATTTCAAAACAATAAAAAAATCATCTGGAAAGGCTACTTCCTAATAGACATCATCAATGTCATAATTATCTGCATTTTATGGCTATTTCCCACACTAGTATGGATTTGTCATGGTTACCTGGCGGCAGCTCTCCTTGCTGTACAGTCTCTTGCAACCTCTTTTGTCAGGTTATCATCTCTCAGGTTATTTCTTACATCTCCCTATATTATTCTTAACCTACCAATAGCTCTCCTCCCCCTCTCCATTCAAACTGATGCCTCTCTTCAAATTGATATCTATTCTCTTTTCATGCCTGAACCATCTCAGCCTATCTCTGAGCAAAAGTTCACCAATATTCTCAATACTCAGCTGCCGTCTTAGCTCTGAACAGGATTTCCCATCTTTCAGTATCTCATTTGACAAATATCTCACTATTCTCATTTAAACTCTCTTTTTAACTGCCCACATTTAATTGTTATACACCATCATACTTCTCATGCCAGTTGCACCATCATTCCTTTCACACAAAGTGAAGGTCCTTTTGCCATTAATAGAAGCAACAACTCCCTAAACTTTTTCCAGACACTTAGTCTAGCAACTAAGCTAGTTTCAGCAACATCTTCAGCACTAATCATTTCACCAAGTAGCAGGATTCACTGACACAACCGATGGATATATCACCTATGCTGAGTTAGTTTCTCTTTCCTAGCTAAGAACACATGATTACCTGTGCATAAAGAACACTTCAAGACAAAAACATCTTGTAGTCTGCCATTTACACCACTGCACCTCTTTTCTACCCATCTTTCACACTCACTGCAAATAACTGAATTGCTGCCAACATATTTCTTACAGAGAGAACATTACTATTTTCTACTTTCCACCACAGGTCCTTCAACTAAACCACTAATCATTACTTTTATTTTTGCCATGTTCATTCTCATACCCTTTGACTCTATTCCATCCTTCCATTTCTTAAATTACTCTACCATCTCTTCAAAAATATCAGCACACAACAATGAGCACAGGGAAAAAACAAATAATATAGATCAGCCACGAAACATCAACTCAAAAAAATAATGCATTTGTAAAGAATGGGTCTGTTTTAGAAAAATATATACACTGTCAGCAAATCAAACGACAAGGTGGACGAATTTCTCTTTCTTTGAAAAAAGAACAAGGAATACAGCAGACTGCAGGCAATAATGGTGACAGTCGGCCAGCATCAGAGCATGAAGAATGTTTAGAAATATGGAACTCATGTTAGTGGACAAGGGAGCCTGCTATAAGTTCATCCTGGTGTATTTAATGATTCACTGAATTTTGAAGCAACTACCAGATCAAGTTTAAGGTTCTGCCTTACTAACCCTTGTCAAATTTGGCAAACAGATCTTTATACAGCAATTACAATGAGCAAATATGTCTGTATATTTACTTCTATAACATAGATAAACTACAGGAAAAGGCTAGGGATGCTCTAATGGGGGTATCTAGCACCTCACTAGTCAAATGGCCAATAAGCCATAAAAAGTATACATCAAATGACAAAAAAATGCCATTATTAATTCAGTATTTCAGGAAGAGCTTCAACAAATTCTTCAAAGCATTAGAAGAGCATGAAAATATGACAACCTACTGATACTTCAAACTGATTACAAGCTTAGAATGTTTAAATAATATGATTAACATAATATTCAAACTTTTACACTTAGGTGATCATACAACTCAGTATATATACAGTATACCCTTCTTATTCGCGGGGTTAGGTTCCAAGGAATGGCGCAAATAGGCCAAACCGCAAATAGCAACTTATACTACCCAAGTGCACTACTGTGTGTATATAAAGATATGCGCCCACCCACCCACACACACACACCAAACTGAAATCAACTAAGAATTTTTCAAACAAAATTTCAAGATGTTAACCTCAGATTTCAGAGCGCTTGTAGCTTCTTGGTGCTGTACAATCTCTGATTTGAGAGGGTCTATTTTTCCTTCTAACTCCCATGCAGATAACTCAGCCACCAGTTTCTCCCCACGAGCTGCTTCCTCCCTTTTCTGGGCCTCTGTTGCCTCCTCCTCTGCTGCTTTGGCCCTTCTCTCAGCTTCAGTGACCTTGGGGTTAAATATGCAGTGATACTGATATATCATCAATCCACCAGTTTCAAAAGATTACAGAAATTTCATATTTTTTCTCCAATTCAAAACTGAGACAAAATGGAATAAAATCCCAAAGGAAACAGCCCAATATACAGCACTGATTCTTGGATATTCATTCCCCTTAGTAGCCAATAATCAAGATCAGTTTCTACAACAAAAAGTTTAGAGTAATCTTCTAACCTGATTCCTTGTTTCCTCTTTCATCTTCTCCACTTCCATAATAGCCTCCATCTTGGCCTTCTCTACTGTGGATACTGTATCTGTCTTCAAGAGCTCCATCTCTGCATTTGTTTTGGCAATCTTAGCTCGCATATCAGATACCTCAGCTTCCATTGCATTTAATCCTGCAAAAGAAAAAAAAATGAGGAAATGTCTCTTTACTGGAACAATATGTGCTATCTACAAAGTTTATATTCAGTAAAGTTACACAATCACCTTTGAATAACAGTGTAGATATTAATACACAAAACAAACCAAATGTAAAGTTTGTCCCATTTTTTATGAGGTAAAAGTTGCCAGAACTAAAGCAAATCTAATGGATGTGATTTGCCCTGACCACATGCACTTCATTCCTACCATGTTTGGATCTTATAAGTACAGTACAACCAATGAATCTTCCCATAATAATAAAATTACCTCACGAGCACATGGAATAGCTAAATATGAGTACCTATTAATCCCCAGGGGTCATTATAATCAACTGTGACCCACTTGATACCATTACGAGCTTCTGTAAGTCATCTTAAGTACATGTATTTTGTCTGTGGTACTTATAGACAGCCTGTGAGTCATTGGGTACAATTACAAGCACTTATGAGTCACTTGCACCATAATGATGTCCTGTGACTTAAGAGTCATTATAAGAAAAGCATGAATCACAAGGCATTATAATGAGCACCATAATTCACTTGGCAACTTGACTCATTGTAAGTGATTCACTTGGGATCATTATGAAAACCATTAAGTCACTTTACTTCATGATCACTTGTAATTCAATTCTCAAGTGCCCTTTCCTGCATGGGGTAGGGTGACTGAAATGGAGAGAAACAGATTTTTTCATCATTCACTTAACCAGCTGGAACAGATGTGATCAACTATGGTGTTTCCCTTCCACAACAAGAGTCAAAGATTTTCAACTGGTTTACACATTGTTTTGTGCAACCTAGGCCCGTACGGTACAGTAAACTCTCGAAAGTTCAGACCTCGTAAGTCCAGATTTGGGATAGTCCGGACCCTTTCAGGGCGAGAAACATTTATCCAAACCCTTAAATATTTGTTTGAAATTGCCACCAACAAGCAATCCCTTGGGTTCTTTCCTCCTTCAGACCTGTGAGTAAGTAGTTTATTCCTCCACTCTGAAAATGGACTTGCCCATAATGCTGCACTGTGATTGGTTAGCTGTAAGTTCAACACACAGAAAGGCCGTTTTTTTCTAAAGACCATTATTGTGATATACAGTAGTCCAGAATGCGACGTATAGCTTTATACCTAGGTATGTTGATGCCTAGCAATAACTCGCGAGGCCAAGATACAGGCAATTAAAACATTTAATAATTACTTAATACAGTACGTAATATTAGGACACGTTGCTACCTGGCATTTAATTGCAATTCTCAAAACCCCCTCCATCACACGCACTGCCACCGTCATCTTCTTGCCTGGCGAATCGGCTGTAAATACACACAAAGGCGGCTCCGCGAATTTGTGTTGTAATAGCTGAAATACTAAGTGCCACGAGGATTTTATATACGGTATTTATACATCTTAGCACAGTGAGGAAATCGAGTGACTTTTATTTTGTTTATGTCTCTCAGATATTGTGTTTGGGACAATTTCTTATACGATCTCTCGTCAGCATGGCGACCACAGCGCTTCTTCTATTATGGAGTCGCTAGATCGTTAGTGACTAATATCCTCTGCTTTCAAGTAACTCAGTGAAAGACATTGCACCCTCTCGGGCTCGTCTTCTGCTAACTTTAGACTGTGCCATTTTGTCGAGTTTAGTCACTTTTATTGGCCTCCAGAACCTAACCCTATTTTCTCCATTGATTACATGTAATTATATATCGTGATGTAGTACAGTATATAGCAAACATCCTTGGACCCTATCTCGTGATATATCCCGACCCTACTGTACAATACAGGCATTGTTTAGTAAAGGAACATGCAACTTAGGCTTTGACGAGTGCAATGTGTGTTATCCACAGCCATGGAACCTAACCCCTATTTCCCATTAGCCTTTAGTCTTACCATCCGCGAATATACCAACCACGGGGATTTACAGGAACCTAACCCCCGTGGATGGCGAGGGACTACTGTAGAGCAAATATTAACAAAATACAGTAATATCTCCGTTAGCTGGAATCCCTCAAACCCGGAACTCTCCAATAGCCGGAATTGAAATTTTCGGAGAAAATCATTCCTAAATCTGGAATTTTCCGGAAAATCCCAGCTTCGTGAATGATTTTCCGAGGGGCGAATTTTCCCGATATACATAAAATTCCGGAAAATTCCGAGGATGGGAGAGTTTTTTCCGGGTTTGAGAGATGAAAATCAAGCGCATTTTCTGGAAATTCCGAGAAAATTTTTCCAGTACCCAGAAAATTCCGGGAATAGGGGATATTTTTCCGGGTTCGAGCGATGATGTAATTTCTGGAACTTCTGAGAACATTTTTCCGTTACCGGAAAATTCCGGGAATGAGGGATTTTTTCCTGCTTTGAGAGTCGTCTTGTTTCCCGTAAATCTCTCATTCCTGGAAGTGCTCTGCACCAATTGTTCCGGCTAATGGGATAGCACTGTACAGTAGGTTCTCAAATTTTGTGAGTTTTTAATTCAACGTTTTTATTTGAAAAAAAAAAAAACCAACACAATTTCAAATTTCGACGGCGGAAAGTCGAATTTCGACAGGTTTGAACAGCCCACCAACGTTCAGACGTGCACAATCATGTAAACAGCATCATTTCTTTTATGTACAAAGGATTCATTATTGTTTATTACTGAATGTCTTTTTTATTGAATTAATGCTTGTGTGTGCAAAATGAACAATACAATTCATTAATAATACGTAGAATATTAAAACACACGAGGAGACGAAACGGCATTGTTTTCATTAATGTTTACAAAACCAGTGACTGGTTGGTTCTACATATAAAACTGAAGAAAATAAGACGATGGTTGTAGCTGTAGTAAAATTATTGTAAAACAATTAATATGGTTGTTTTAAGTAATGTTATTTAATGTTAATAAATGGAACAATAAAGTAGCTTCCGGTAACCATTAATGGTAAAGAAAAAATGTGAGATCGCACATGTAAGTGCGCACATGTGAAAACATATCGTCATTACTCTACATAAAAATATGAAAGCAACACTTATTTACTGTTCATATATATTTTAATTAATGTTTCTGAATGTAAAACGAAAATTCTACTCACCAATGGTGGTAAAGTCTAAAACATAAGGACAGCCAATGATGTGTGAGTTTTTACTCATGACGAAGTCATCAGGCTCAACTCTGGCTGAAGCTGTAGCTTTCCATAAAGCTGTTGCTGAAACTGTTACTGAACCTGAAGTTGTTGTTGAAGCTGCTTATGATGCTGAGTTTGATGGTGTAGCTGAAGTTGATGATTTAGGCCATAGAATAATAAAGCTTTCTTTTCTCATTTTACATCTATATGTTGAGGTCATTTGTGTTTTTCACGTCCCTGTTAATTTTAAAGCTTTGTTCTGTTAATGGATCCACTTCAGAAAATATGTTCATTGCTTGCTCCTTATAATATCCACAGGCCTGTGTTGTTTTCAGTTTTTATTTAACTTTATCTGTGTTATTTTTGTTGGTTTATTAGGATGTTGCTTTATTACAGGTAGTAGTTTGCCAAAAAAGTAGGGTAAATAAGGCAAAATTTAGCCAAACATCGAAAGTACCAGACTCAAATTAATTTTCTCCATAGGAAGTTGTATTTAAATTTGAACGATTTGAATTTTGCGAGGTTTTTACAGTCTAAATAGGTGTCCAAATATGAGAGCCTACTGTACTGTGTATTAGTCATAAGCACTAATTCTGAAGAAGGCAAAGCTTAAAACATTGTGCGAACTACATACGGTAAATATACAATGCAGCTTGTATCCCAACTGCAACCCGACAACTTACACCAAGGCAAGAGACACCTTGTGGGCATAGAGCACACCACACAATGCAAAAGGTTTGGTTTGGGTGTTAAGGAACTTGTGCCTTTGTGAACATAACTGGTTAGGTTAGGGCTGGGCAATCCACCAACTTGTTTTGACTAAGCACTGAAAATAAGATGTGATGTATCATTGACTGATTGCAAATAAGTTAATAACCATCATGAATATTTTTTTTCTATTTATTCTACTACATCCTCCCAAATTCTGAAATAAATATGTTAGGCCTCACCATTTCCTCCAATATGTCCTGGAAATCACACATCCTTAGTATAACTAAAGCTGCCTCCCGAAAGTTGGGAATGCTGTACAGATGCCGCAGCTACTTCACTCCTGAGCAGTTGCTCCAAGTATATACCGTAAGGGATTCATTCGTCCTAACTTGGAGTACTGCTCTCATATCTGGGGTGGCTCTTCTTCTGTCCAACTATTAGATAGGGTGGAATCAAAGGCATTTCGTCTTATTAACTCTCCTCCTTTAGTCGACAATCTCTCTCTCCCCTTTCTCTTCGCCGCAATGTTGCTTCACTCTCTCTCTTACAGGTACTTTAACGGGCAATGTTCAGTGGATTTGGTATCCTGTGAACCGCCGGCAAGGCCGTGGGTTCGTAACACACGTCTTGCCCGCGGTGCCCACCATTTCTCTGTGGATGTCGGTCACACGAGAATAACCCGTTATAGTACCTCCTTCTTTCCTCACACAGCCAAACTGTGGAATGCTCTGCCGTCTTCTGTGTTTCCTTGCTCTTACAATCCGTCTCATTTTAAAAAGCTGGTTTTCCGTCATCTTCGTGGTGTAGATTAATACAGTATAACCTTTTTTTTTCTATATTTTCAATTTCTTTCCATTCTTTTTCTACCTACACCAACCAGCAAGCAACACCACCTCCTCCACTCCTGCCTGGCGGCCCTCACTCCCGCCGGCAAGCATGGCGACCCACAAGCTGGTCCTCCTCTGAGCACCCTCACCAACCAGCTCTCTCTACATTACGCTTGTAACCATGCTGCCTTCCCAGCACCAAGCTGCTGTCATGCACCCTGCTGCTGTCATAGACCCTCTTCCTGACGCAGCCCCTGCTCCTGACCCAGACCCACACACTCCAGCAGGCACATCTGAGGATTCTGTACCTGTCGCAAGGGAAGCACAGCATTCATTGCCTCAACACACCCTTTTTCTCCCTCTCTTCTCCCACAGATCTCGTGTGTCTAGACAGTTGTCTCCCCTAGCGGCCGGCTCATCCACGCCCTCGCCATTCTGCCTCACATGTGCCATGCAACCCTGCAGACAACAAGTCTCCTACACCACCTGGAGGGAAGGGGGAGTATTGTAGTGGATTCCTCCCCTACAAACGCTGTTTGTCACTGAGTAGCCAACCCCGCGAATTCCCCAGAGTATGCCTCGTGGTCTGGGTCAACCAGCGCCGCCTTACATGGCGGAGGTCAACTCTTAAGCCACACCTACCTCCGCTATATAAGACCTGACCTCGTGGTGACCTACCTCTTTTTCTACCTACACCAACCAACACCACCTCCTCCACTCCTGCCTGGCGGCCCTCGCTCCCGCCGGCAAGCATGGCGACCCACAAGCTGGTCCTCCTCTGAGCACCCTCACCAACCAGCTCTCTCTACATCACGCTTGCAACCATGCTGCCACTTCCCAGCACCAAGTTGCACTGTACATCCAATACAATATGTATACAGAGAGCACATTGTGAGTTTCCTCTGTCCATCCCATCCTGAGTGTGAACCAACATCTCGTTCCCCACAAACTGATTGCGGATAAACAAGGTTACGAATACCGAGGCTATGAGTAACGGGGTTTGCCTGTATACAGTATAGTATATTAACTCAGATGTTCAAACTGCATAAACAAGAACTAAACTTTTATCTTAATTCAATTTAATACAATACATAATTGTGCTGTATATGCAGTAGAAGAGATGAAAAGGTCAAGCGAAATAAAGATCATACTATAAATAACTGGTTCAAAGTAATGTGCATTTACTATAGTGCTTTAAGAAGATTCTACCTTACTGTTATAGATAAGAATTGTATATTAGATACACATTATTCCATAATACCTGCTAATTTTCTGTCACAATCTTCTTTGGTTGTGGTAACAGATGCTTGTGCCTCATCCCTCTGCCTTATCATAGATTTTAGCTCATCCTGCAGCTGGCCAATCTCCTGGGATAACTTAGTCATGCTATTCTCAGCATCTTTAACAACCTGGAAATATAGCACAAAGAATTAACATGAAAAACAAATAGACCTGATCCAGGTTGTTCTAGTGGAAATTTGTCGATAAAAATACTGGCATCCCTCAAATACCTGAAAGGTTTTCGGTAACTTGAAACCTAGTTTCGCACTCACTTCTTTTATTAAATTGGACATGGTTTCATACAGACAGAACTTTCTCTTGAAACAAATTAAAACAACACCTAAGATTTTTAAAAAATATACTTGAAAAACAATGCAATATTTTTTACAAACTATACAAGAAATTACATATATAAAACTAATTTTCCCATAAGAAGCACTACACTATATTAAGGGGGGATACATTCCTGGGTGGGATTACTGAGGGTACTTGGACTGAGTTTTAGTGAAAAAATAAAATAAATAAAATACTTTTCAGAAAAATCGTACAGAAATGCAATATAAAATAAAAATCAGGGGCCTGTGCATGTTCATTCACAGCCTTGTCTCATGTGGCATGTCTAAGAAGTTCATTAACTGACAACCCATCTCCATCAACAAGCATCCAGTTTTACCTTTATGACATTAAACCAAAAAACATGAAACATTTGTAAAAATGCATAATAGTTACCAGTACAATATATACAGTACAGGTATGTGCAATATTAGATCCCACTACTAATTTGCTAAACTGAAAATCATTGGAATGTGCCTATAAAAAGAAAAATCTATAGAACCCATAAAGTCCCAAACTGCTTCTCTTCTTGATGTAGGACAAAATGAAGTACAGGGAAAACCTCGTTAAACCATGTCTCGTTCAGGTATATTCCGCTTTAACGATGGTCATGAATTAAGAACATCTCGCAATATACGACAAAAAAAAAAAATCGTTTTAACGATATCCATCAAATATCCATTGGTTGGAAAAAAAAATGTTTTCCCTAGTGCAAACTATGGGTTGTATTTACTCAAATTAATCACTGCCTTGTAAGGATTCCAGCAATGCAAATTATATTTTTCTGTGTCAAATCAGTGACATTTTATAAGAAAACAACATTTAACCCTGTGCACCACCATAAGTAACGCATCTCAAACTGCACTTGTCACATGCGGTAATATCTACCACCACACAGCCAACCCGCACACTACAGTCTTGCATGTGGTTCTTGGTCAATTGCATCTCCCAGTCATTGCATAGCTCCACGATTATCACTCAGCATAGTTGGCCATATGTACAATACATTGTACTTATCAGTGTATTTCTTTTATTATTTTTTATGAGAGGACAGCACTAACATTTAGATTGAACTGTGTTATGGTGACTGTAAAGTAATTCGTCTCTGTTGTGAAAATGATACGAGCAGTGACGGCCACTATTATTGTACAGTATTTACATTATCACCGTTCACTCTGTCTTTGTGACAAGTGCTTTTGCTCTGTTTTTGTCACTGTGGAGTGGGCAGTGTAACTTTGAAATTGTCTGGGAATGCCAGGGCATCCATGACATCCGGGTCTCTGAGGTGAAGCTTCATACTGTGAAATGGCATAAGACTCCCCAGAGGCTGTGTGGGAGCCAGTGTGATGTCTCCACTCCACCTACAAGAGTCCCCTTAGCCTCAAAGGGGACATTGTGAAGCAGCCAGGCTTGTTCTTTATGATGTGGTGAGTGTTGTTTAATTGCTTTCTATTAATTTTTTAAGTGTAGGAATTTTTTTGTTGGTGATGCATGTGTGTTTGGGGACTGGCTGGGAACGTATCCCATTAAACCCCATGTTATAATGATCCAGATCTACGATAGTTCACTTAGCAATGGGTTTTTAAGGAACCTAACCCCATCGTTTACCGCGGTTTACCTGTACCAAGGCCTTTAGCCATTTGAAAGACAGACTAAAGACATAATGAACCTTAGTTAAAGTTTAAGGATATTATGTTCCCCTTCTGTGACATCTAAATACTTTTGGGAAAATTTTATTACCCAAGATTTTATTTTGTAACTTCAAAATACACGTAAGTTTATTCACCTTAAATATATTTTTCAATTATTTTATTAATCTACCAATCTATAGAAACCCAAGTACAAAAATTTTAATCACAGGCCCACCTTGTCCTTCTCCAAATACAGCTGCTCCAGTTCAAATTTCTTACTGTCTGCTAGCTGTTCAGCCATCTGCACTTGGGTAGTCAGTTTCTCAACTGAAGATTCTGCTGCAGCAAGTTTTACCTTCAGCCCTGATACCTGCATCATAATATAAATAGCCACATAAAAAATATAAATAACAAATAGAAACAAATCAATATAAAAAATAAAATAAAAATTAAATCCCCGCATGGAATACAGTATGATGAAGGCTACATGGCTAATTTTGGTACTGGCTTTCCAATGACAACTAATACTGTAGCAATACAGTCATCTCTCCCCAACCAAGGTTTTAAGTATGTATCCCTTTTACATAAACTGTAAACAGTTTTTCTTCCACATTATAAAGTTATGAGTATCTACGGGTTTCCACGAAGCAGCCATGTGGCGAGGAATAAAAACTAAAATTGTTCATGTGTGGCAGTGTGTGTGTGAGGAGGTCAGGGGGCACACAGCAAAGAGCATCATTAGGAGGAGTAGCGTCCCAGCTGGGCTGTGTTGTTAAGGCAAGTGTGTGATAATCTGTGTTTATGGCCACTGAGTCCAAATATTGTACAGTACCTTTTTACATATAATGTACCTGATATTTTGGGTTCATGATCCAAAGGTCGTTTGCACCCAATAAAATACAGTCAGTTCTGCTATAACGCGATAGTTGTGTTCTTGTAAATCCTCGTGTTCTAGAAATTCGCGCAATAGAAATAACAGGGCTTATGGAGAAAATAGGGTTAGGTGCTGATTACTCGAAATCGAAAAAATTTAGTAGTTAGCCTAACACAAAAGATAGCACAGTCTAAATAAATGTTACATTCATATCTAATAATGAAATCATACAGTAAATGTTACACTTTACCTTGAAAAAATATGAATATAACTTGATGGGGGAGAAGGGTGATGTTGAGGTTGAGGAGTCATGCAGACAGGAGTTGAGAGTTGTCATCGTCATCATCAGTATCGTCATCAGGTGCAGTTTTGGTTGCATGGTTTGGACGGAAAAAACGTCTAATTCCAGAAGTGGATGGCTGTGGTTCAGTGTCTTCAGACTGCTTCTTGGGGGTTAACTTAAAAAAGACGTCTAATGTTTGCTGCTTTGCCGTCTTTCTTCTTTCACAAAGAAGCTGTTCATAAGGTGCCAAAAAAGATTTAACACCATGAACTGCAATCCTGCTCCTTTCTGCATTGTAGTCATTGTCTTCCAAGATCTGCAACTGCTTATCAACTTCCCTCAGGATATAAGAAAAAACAGAAGTGGGAAGCTCTCGTGGTTTTGCATCCTTGACTTCATCATCTTCCCCAGCAGCAACAAGTTGTTGTAGATCAGCTGTAGAGAGGTCTTCACAGTGGGACTCGAGCAGTTCCTCAACATCAGCACTTTTCACTTCAGCAAAGCCAACTTGCTTTGCAAGAGAAACACAATTTCCTTTTATTTTTGGGAGCTCCTCTGATGCATCAAAGCCGGTAAAATCATGAATTAAATCTGGGAGAAGCTTCCGCCAAACTCCACTCAAGCAGTCCTTACTTACATCACCCCAGGCCTCCACAATGATGTCAATTGCATGCTTGATGTTGAAACTTTTCCAAAACTGAAGAACACTGGCCTTATCATTTCCTTCCTCAGTAGCTGCAATAAGTTTTTTAAATGTACGCCTCAAATAATAGGCTTTGAAGGCTGCTATTACTCCTTGGTCCATTGGTTGAAGGAGAGATGTTGTATTTGGAGGTAGAAAGAGCACTTTGATATTGTCAGAAAGCTCAGCAATGGTGGGAGGGCGGCTTGGCGCATTATCTAAAAAGAGGCAAACCTTAAAATTTATATTCTTCTTCTTGCAATAATTTTTAAAAACATTTTCAAAAACATCCACAAGAAGGTCAGAAAAAATTTGTCCCATCATCCAACTTTTTTTTGCTTGACCTAAAGTGAACACCTAGAGTAGACTTTATGTAACCCTTTAAAGCTCGCGGGTTGACAGAGTGATACACCAGCACAAGCTTAAGCTTTAAGTCTCCACTAGCATTTGCACCCAACAACACTGTTACGCGGTCCTTCGCAGCCTCAAAGCCTGGAGCATGTGCTCCATTCTTGGATATGTAAGTTCTTGTTGGCATGCGCTTCCAGTATAAACCTGTTTCATCCAAATTAAAAATTTGGTCTAAGGTGTAGCCTTCTTCCTGAATCAATTTCTTTACAGTGGGAGGAAATGCCCGCGCACTTGCTTCGTCGGCACTTGCTGCTTCACCACATAACTTTACATTATGAAATGCATAGCGGTTCTTAAAACCATAAAACCATCCACTACTAGCACTAAAGGCAACCACATCAGGATTTTCAGCTTTTTTTTCTTTAGGTCCTCATATACTGATAAGGTTTTCTCTTTAATGGTGAGGAAGCTGGTCCCAGATCGCTTTTTTGTTTGATCTTCTATCCAAACACTTAGAAGCCATTCCATCTCCTCAAGTTCCTTTGGCCGTGATCTCACACTTTTCCTAGCACTCAAGGTTTTTCCAGCAATACAGCTTGCTTTAATCTTTGCTCCATTGTCTCTAATGGTGCGTAAAGTAGACTCCTTTATTCCCGTTGCACGCACAATTTCACATGTTCTCTCCTTATTTTCAAAACGCTTGACAACATCAAGCTTTTCTTCAAGTGTTATAGCCTTTCTTTTACAATCACCACCAGAAATGCGATCACCAGAACACATCCCGGAGATATTCTTCTTTTCCATAGTCACAAAATTGGAGAAACAGAAAGCAAAAATCACTGAGGACGCTTAAAAACTTCCCACGCATTTCAAACTGATCGTGTGTGTGATGTAAACAGAGAGCGTGGGTGTAAAACGCTACGTATTTTGTTTTTCTCTCTTATTTAAAATTTTACAATTTACATATACTCTACAGGTATACTGTATACATAAATATTACATAAATTACTTCTGCAATTCTTCACAAACAAAACACATAAATCAACTGAACATGTGATGTCGAACGTGAACTGTAAACACTGCATAACCCCGCGCCAAGCGACAACAACGGTTCGAGTGGAATCGCGTTACAGCCAACACGCATTCGCGTTTTACAAATATTGCTCTTCTATTCATCAATCGCGTTACAGCCAATTAGCGTTGCCAAAACACATGTTATAGCAGAACTCACTGTACTCTTTAGTTAAAAAAAAAAATTTTCACCAAACTACTGGTGCTAAAGAAGAACAGCCTATAGTTTCTACGGCACTTCATCTGTTTTCTTCCTACAGTACAGTATCAGTTTCGGCTAAAGCATTACTGATATTTATATTTCTTGAAATTAAAATTTCATACCCAAGGACAGCAATTTTTTTTTAATTAAAAAAGCGTTAAAGCTGAGCAGTTTTCACTGAAAAGAGGGTATGTGTCCTTCCTACTTTACATCTTGATAAACACTGAGGACTGTGGTGTGAGCTAGGGAATTTTTCCAAAGCCAAAATATTGTAAATGAAGGCTACAGGCATCCTTATAAGCCATACATCCTACTAAATGCTTTCAATTGTAATATGAATACTATAAATAAAACATAATATTGCATAATTGTAATTTCAAGCCATGACACTTGGTAAGTGATACTGTATTGATTATTTATTACTCATAAGATTAAAATGAGGGCACTAAGGATTGCCATACCCCAGCACATATGAAGGCAAGTAGGCACAGACTTCAAGTATCATCTGGTCAATCAATCAAAGTACCATCTTCATGTAAGAGAGTTGTGGACCAGTTCTTCACTCTAAACGTTTTCAGCTCTTTCTGGTGTCTGCTGAAAGTGTCCATGCTTCTGATCCACAAAACATTCCTGATTCTATATCACATTTCAGCAGCTTTTCTTTCTCAAAATGAAGTTAATGTCCCTTTTTATTGGCTCTTTTAGATTATTAAATGCTAGTGTATTTGCCCTTGTCTTATAGACATAACTATTTATATAAATATGGGTTAATATACTTGAAGCGTGTAACTATCACCCCCTGTAATTTTCCATAGCTGTGAGGTAGCATGTTCAAAGCACGTGATGACGCACAAGGTGTCTCCAGAATACACCAAGGTCAGCTAACTTGGGCTTGACCCACGGACAGTATCTACTCAGTTCTCACTACAGCTCTCACTTAGAGCCTATCCTTGATAGCTCCGTCCTTCCCCTCACAGTTAGTGACTATTACGGTGATTATCCTTTGGACAGTGTACATAGACTTTTGATAATAAAGTAAGAAAAGTAATATACAGTATAAGTCCAAAAACCCGGATGCCAGAAATCCAGACCACCCGAGAATCCGGATTTTTCGAAAACTCACTTTTTTTTTTTTAATTTAGCGGGCTTTTGTGCGCTTTTGCACATGCGTGAGTGCCACAGCTGCACACCGACAACAAGCGACCACGCGGTCGCCACTTTAAAACGAGCAATCAAACTGTGACAACGTATGTAATTTTGAGTCCTACTCTTTCCATTAAAAGAGTACTGTACAAGCCCATAATAATGGCTCTTAAGGTAGATAAACTTCGTTGTGTGAAGAGAAAGAAGAACACGTTGAAATTGAATGACAAACTTGAAATAATTAAGAAAATAGAACGTGGTGTGAGCAATACTGTTCTAATGGAAACATACGACATTGGAAAGTCTACAATTTATGATATAAAAGAGGCAAAGAATAAAATTCTAGAATTCACAGCTTTTTCTTTAAAACTGCTCGTTTTGATAAATGAAGCATGCTATATTTCCTAATGAATAAACTATCAAAATGTACCTGTTCATTTCTTCTTTATTCCTCCTTAAATTTGAATTTTAAAAGTACTGCCTGAGAATCCGGAAAATCCGAAAATCCGGACCAACCCAATCCCCAAGCAGTCCGGATTTTTGGACTTCTACTGTATTGGATTTTGCTACTAAATCCGATAAACATTTATCTATGTTCTAGTTTGGCTAGAATATAAGGTAACAGCTTCACCAGTGCCTGTTACGAGTGTTAACATCCAGCAAGGTTGTTACACATATGACAGCTTCACAAGTAGTGTCATCCAACAAGTAACAGTCACTTAACAGTTAAACAGTTGGTAACGGTAGAGATAATTTGTTTCTCCCCATCACTGTGTTACACTGTTACTAGAATTTAGTGTTACACTAGTTTTGCTTAACCTATTCTTGTTTTGAATTATTTTGCACTCCTACCTTCACGTGTAAGGTTACTTCCCAAATACACAAAATTTTCCTTTTGTTTAAATTTCCTGTTGTCTGCCATAATTTATGTTTTAGGATTTATTTCCATTCTGGAAACAACCATTATTATAATTACAGCCTTAACTCTTAACCCATATTCTTCACCTTTTTGTAATTCCTCTTCAGTATCCGCGATAAGAGCGATATCATCGACATAGCATATTTGTGATACTGTATTATTTTACCATTAGCTTTTATTTCTTCAATGTTACTTAGAGCTTTTCTCATTAAAAAAATTCTGATTAAGCCTCGTTTTACTCCCTGTCAACTGGTAAAGAAACACTAAAAAAAATTTTGAAACTAATTTGTTTCCATATTTATATAAACAAATACTGTAGATTACCTGAGCAGCAGCCATTTCTTTCTCCTGACGTAACTGAGTCAGATTTTTGGTAAAATCTTCTGCTGCTTTCTCTAACTTAGCAACCTCTGCCTCTAACTGATTGCTCCGACTCAAAGCCATCCTGTAATCTTTTTCTACTGATACTGTCTGAAATCAAGAAGTTTATGTTAATATCCAATACAAATAAAGTATAATCAAATCATCAATATGTAAGTGAAGTAAAGGTCAATTTACATACTTACTTATACAGTACACTCTCGATTTAACGGAATCCGATTTAACAAACTCTCAATTTAGCGGCAGGAATTTTTTCCATTTTTGTTTCCGTTCGATTTAGTGAACTAGTTCGCGAAATCGAGACTAATTCTGTTAATTCGCTCAAACTTACAGAGACACCTCAGACACATGATACAGTAAAACCGACTTCAGCCTATGACAAATGTACTAAATGTATAAAAACAATAAATAATGATATAAAAAACAACATTCCCCATCTTAACAGAAAGCATTTATGATACTGTTATCAGTAACATATAAAACCACACAGGAAAAGGGAAACACTGGAGCACCTTAGCTTTTGTCTTTATTCAAGACATCTTCAGAGGCAAATGAATTTACAGGGACTGAGAGGCTTACATACAATGAGTGACCTTACATAACATCAGGTCAGGTCAATAATATGGGATCCACTAATCCACACACCACCTCCACTGCAAATGAAAGAAGAGCTTATAAAAAAAATGGAAGACATAACAACAGGTCAGGTCAAAAACATGAGACCCACTAATCATCTATCCTACGTCCACCTCAAATGCTTTCAAAGCATATTTAACCAGGGCCGTCTCAAGGCATAGCAGGAGTAGGCCCCCAGCCCATTGGGGCCCCCTGATGCCTCCTTCAGGAATTTAGTTCAAAATATCTGAGGCTGGCCGAGTGTGAATTTTTCAAGTTATCTGCCGAATTAAGAACCTTTATAAAGAAAATTTGAACCTTAAAAAGTATTACAATACATTAATTATTACTGCTTTCTTGATATTTTCTACATACAAAAACATAATTAATTCTTGTTCTGCTATTATAGTTTATTTCCTGACATATTTCCTATACTACCCACTATCACAATTCAGTTCATCACACACATTACGACACCGCCATCACCACGACGGACACTGGGACACTCCCAACTCCCGGGGCCCATCCGCCAAAAATATTACTTTGACCTTAGACACACAAGCTTAAGGCTGAATTCCCTAAAAGTCCTTCGCATTTTTTTTCTTTTTAGTTTTCACAGGTGTAGAATACAGTGGTCCCTCGGTTAACGAGCACAATTCGTTCCAGAAGGTTGCTCGTTAACCGAAATTTTTTTTAACCGAAACCATTGTTTCAATGGGTTTTTGGGTAATTGGTTCCAGCTCACCGAAAATTACATACAAACTAAAAATAAATGCAATAAAGTACACTTATTTTGAGGTGTGCATGTAGAAGGCTCCTGGCTGATGATGATGATGATGGGAATTAGAATGGGGGTGGAGGAGAAGGGAGAAGAGAAGGCATTGGGGTGGAAGAGAAGTCACCCCATGCTGCCATTTCACCCATAAAATTTTAGTTCACTTGGTGTAATTCAAGATTATTTTCTTTAAATCAACACTAAACTGTATATTATCAATATACCTGGATCATGCGCACCTACAGTAGAGTGATTTACTTGCATATTATCAATATATATAATATATTTAAAAATGACCAATAATTTGACTGGAAACTCAGAAAAAAGCATTTACCGTATATACTCGTATATAACCCCCCCCCCCTCATTTATAGGTCGACCCTGATTTTTTGACCAAGAAATCGTTAATTTATGATATTCCTCGTTTATAGGTCGACCCAAGTTTTTGAGGGTAATGGAACAACAAAACCTTCAGTAAAAACACTCTACGTCCTATAAACTGAGGCTCGCCGTGCCTGAAACACCGAGTGCCGAAGGCAAATTGTTTACTATTTATTATTACGACATTTTACACTGAAACGCGGGTAGTTTCAACAAAAATATTGTATATCTCCATTCAAGTATTAATTCAAGTCAATTAGGAGGGAATATTATTGTAGCACAACAATTTTTTAACTGAAAACCATTCGAAAAGCAATTACGGTAACATCTTTTGAACGAAAGAAAGCAAAAGTCATTGTTTTCGTCACGATTTTATCCCACTTTCCACTGTAATACGTACGTCATTTCAGCAAAAATATTACATTTCCGTAAATGCATTATATCAAGCACAGTATGAATAGAATATCATTGTAATATAACAGTATTTTAACCGAAAACTATTGAAAAAACGAGTAACATCTCAAGAACATCGGAAGCTTAGGTAAAGTCTTTTGTTTTCGTCATGTATTTTATCCTATTTTACATTGAAATACATCACGTTTCAGCAAAACTACTATTTATTTCCGAGAATATATTCATTCAGGCACAGTTTAGGTAAATTATACATGTGATGTAACAGTTTTTTAACTGAAAACAATTCGAAAAACACGTACCCTCTAGCCCTGTTCAAGGATAGGACTGGGAGGAGCTGTTTGTTACTATGACAAGGAAAATGATTTTGATGGATTTTAATGAAAATATTCAGAAATATGGTATCGTAGTATTTATTCAAGTCAATTAGGATAGAATATTATTGCAATACAACAGTTTTTTAACTGAAAACCATTCAAAAAGCGATTACGGTAACATGTTTTGAACGAAAGAAAGCAAAAGTCATTGTTTTCGTCATGATTTTATCCCACTTTCCACTGTAATACGTACGTCATTTCAGCAAAAATATTACATTTTTGTGAATGCATTATATCAAGCACAGTATGAATAGAATATCATTGTAATATAACAGTATTTTAACCGAAAACTATTGAAAAAACGAGTAACATCTCAAGAACATCGGAAGCTTAGGTAAAGTCTTTTGTTTTCGTCATGTATTTTATCCTATTTTACATTGAAATACATCACGTTTCAGCAAAACTACTATTTATTTCCGAGAATATATTCCCTTCAGGCACAGTTAAAGTAAAATATACATGTGATGTTACAGTTTTTTAACTGAAAACGATTCGAAAAACACATGTACCGTCTAGCTGATACGCAAAAGCTGGTGGTGCATCGTGCATCGTTGTAAACAATAGGAGGTTGAAGTGGATTACTGGGTATTATATTAAATGTGAAATATCGAAAAGGTTTTTATTACCGGTATTTTTTGTAGATCAATGGGTACTGTGATACCGTATATGATATGATAAGTTAGCCTGTGCTAAGAACTTCAACATAGACTACTGAAAGCACGTTGTAAGGTAATTTAGCCTATTGTAAGTTGGTGAGCTTCATCTGCTGAAGGAACTGCACAACTTTTCATTACTAATTGGTACATATTTCACGTATCCATTGTTTACTGGCAGTAAATGGTAAATATTTTTCATGTCTGAAGCTAAAAGTTGTTCCTCGCCCTTCCCATCATGCACGGGTTCAACCTAACAAAACTATTACGCATGTAGAGGTCGACCCCTTATTTTTTGCCTAAAAATTTTGTCTTAAAAACTCGAACTACACACGAGTATATACGGTATGTTGAAGAGTCTCAAACAAGATGTTCCTTCCTCTGAACCGGTAAACAAATTGACGCCAAGCTTGGTGTGTTGAGTAGCTGTTTGGCGCACAAAAAACTAGTTTCCTGTACTTCAATTATGTTCAATAATTGTTAAAATGACTAAAAAATTTAATATAAAACTTTTAAAATTATTAAATAGTACAACCTTCTTGATATTTACTAAAATAGTAAGGAATTTAAGCCCTAAAACCGATTACTATATTGGTGGACTAATACTACAGCTGCTGAGCAGGCAAATGCAGGGGAAAACATGTTGGGAAAAATTTGTAAGGATTTCGTTAACCGAAATTTTTTCGTTAACCGAAGTGAAGAATCTTATGGAAGGTAATTCGTTAACTGAAATTTTGTTAACCGAGGCGCTCGTTAACCGAGGAATCACTGTATATCAATCCGGTGAGATGGAAGATGAAGCCACAGTCAGCGATCAAACGCAGTACCCAGGACAGGAACACTACAGGTTTGATCGCGTTGGTTTTCTCGTCTCCGATCTCTTGCAATTCACCCTTCAGTCGTGTCGAGGCTACAGTAGAGTAGCTAGGGACTCAATCACAGTGAGTGAGACTGAGCGATACCATAATACCATTGTCTGTAACTTTCAATGTGGTCCAAGTGAAAGTATTTATGAGGCGCCGTATCAAGCTATAGAGGCTATGCATTATCAAACTAAACAAGTAAGGGAGGCCCTGCTGAATATGATGAACAAAGTCACAGACCTTGTGACAGGGATAAAGGCCCAGTCCACTGGCGGAGGAAGTTGGGTCTTACCATTTTTTTATATGCACCGTGGCATGATATTACATTCTGAAACAAATACAAGAAGTGAGCAAACTCTTGCAGTCTACTACCATGCAGCTTGATGTGGCTATGAGCTTACTGAAGAATACTAAAGCCCCCCTGGTGAGCTATTGTGAGAATTGATTTGTCTCAGCACAAGCATCAGCTAAGGACATGTGCAAGGAATTGAATGTGGAGGCTGTGTTAAAGGAAAAGAGACTTTGAATGACGAAGAAACACTTTGGATATGAAGCTGCAGATGAGCCAATTTCTGATGCTTTGAGAAGATTAGAAGTCTTTTTTCAATACAGTGGTCCCTCGGTTAACGAACACAATTCGTTCCACAGTCGTCCGTTAACTTTAAAATTTTGTTAACCGAATCCATTGTTTCTATGGGATATTGGGTAATTGGTTTCAGCTCACAGAAAAGTATATATACAAAGTAAAAAAATAATGCAGCAAAGTACACTTACTTTGAGGTGTGTATGTAGAAGCTTCCTGGTTGATAATGATGATGGGAATTAGAAGTGGGGGTGGAGGAGAAGGGAAAAGATAAGGAAGTGGGGATGGAGGAGAAATCACCTTTCAGGGGAGCCATGCTTGATGCAGCCATTTCACCAATAAAATTTTAAGTTCACTAGGTGTAATTCAAGATTATTTTATTTAAATCAACACTGCACTGCGCTATATATTATCAATATGTTAACTAAATTTCAGATTGACCAATAATTTCAATGTAAAAATGCAAAAATATTCAAGACACCAACAAAATCGATGTTCACTCCACTGTAAACAAAGCCAAACTGACGCCAGGTGGTTGAATCAAGCGGTTGATGGGCGCACAAAAAACTAGTTCCCTGTACTGCATATACTATCAATATGTTAACTAAATTTTAAAATGACTAATAATTTTAATATAAAAAATGCACAAATATCAATGAGCACAACTTTCTTGATATTTACTCCACTGGAAACGAATGTAAACATAAAACAACTTACTGAATTGGCAGACTAGCCCATCAGCTGATGCTCACAACAAAACGTGTTGTTCGTAAGAATTTCGTTAACTGAAGTTTTGTTCGTTAACCAAATTGAAGATCCTTATGGGAGGTAATTCGTTAACCGAAATTTCGTTAATCACCCCGTTCGTTAACCGAGGGACCACTGTACTGTGATAGACTCTGCCATCACATCACTCAATGAAAGGTTCCTGGGCCTGGGAGAAGTTAGAGACAAATTTGGAGTTCTCTTTCACTTCAAAGAACTGTCCATTGATTCACTCGCAACACAGCGTCAGGAGCTGAGTGACACCCTGAGCTATGGTGGAGAGTCAGATAATGATGGAAAAGAACTAGCCTATGAAATGAGAAATTTACCACTTACCTTCTGAAAATATGACAACATTGGAACTTCTTAAATATATACATGAAAAGCAAATTAAAGACCTTGTAGTGGCCTACTCTCACTACAACCGCTCAGCTGTCTCGCCTCTCCCAATCAGCAGTGAGTTCCATACCACAGCCTTAGCTCCTGAACCACTCGCTGATAGGCCACTTACCGTCCCCGCCTCAGCCAGTCAGCAGCGAGTTCCAGACCACAGCTTCTGCCCCCAATTCGCTCGATGATTGGCCAGCTGCCGGCCTCGCCTTAGCCAACCAAGGGTGCCTTTCAACAAAACTGCTGGAAATAATACCCCTTTCATACCTCTCCTAAAAAACAAAATAATAAAGATCACAAACCTGAGCTAATGCTTTATCCAGAGATGCCTGCAGAGAGTTTTGGGTGTTGCGGGCAAGGGTTTCTTGTTGCTGGAGTTTTGTCTGTAAGTCACGCATTTGACGTTCTGTGGATGAAATACCGATTTGATAGATAAAACTAACAATTGTTTTAAGTAACAGATGAATGAAAAATAAAACTTAATTTAACAAAAAACATAAAAATATCATGAATTATGGTCCTTCACAACAATGAACCTAGTTTTAAATACGTACAGTACAGTATACGGTAATCTCCAAGTTAGTCAGAATAATTGGTGCAGAGCGGTTCTGGTTTTGACAGATTTCTGGGTATGCTCACAAATTTTCTCATCCCCGATAAAAATCGCACATTTCCAGAATTTTGGGGGCACTGGTGAATGTTTCCGCATCAGACTGCAATTGGACAGACATAGTAGCTTTCAGGTATGTTTATGTGTTTGTCTCTAAGGGAGTTGCTCCACTTCCCTTAACGGAACTCTCCTTTTGAGGAATGGTATCCCCATCCTATTTAGGACACGTCCGTACAAACAACCAAGTCTGTTTTAGAGGGAACCCAGGGAGATGAACGGATTAGATTGTCCAAATTTGTCCACCATGACAGATGAATCTTATCTGAACAGGGAGAGAAGAAGCAAAATTTTTGTTTCTGTGAAGCAACTTCGACCCCAGATGAGTTAGTTGCTTCTTTCTTAACTTGCCCAAAGGTACTACTATGGTGGCAAAATTCAACAGGTCCAGTAGTTTTTCCCAAACGTGCCAAGAAATCTCTTACTTTACACAAAAGGCTTCTACTTGGTTTATCACATGTTACCTTTGCTTCTGGTAGACTGACTGACTGCTTTTTGGTGTCCCAATGGAGACCTAACCAATCCAATTTCTGACATGGTATGAGATTGGATTCGACCTGGTTTATCTTTAATCTTAAGTTTTAAAAGAGTACTAGTGTACGTTGGGTCGCCCTTTGACAGTCTTCGAAAGAGTTTCCCCACTATCAGCCAATTGTCTAGATAAGCAAAAGTTCTTATGCCCTCCTTCGCAGAGGATTTCCCTGGGAATGTTCGCCAGTTTTGCAAACACTTTTGGTGCAATTATTAGGGTGAATGGCATCACTGTTAATTGATAACTTACATCCCCCACTGCAAACACTAGAAACTTTCTGTACCTGGGAGCAACAGGCACGTGATAATGGGCATCTTCGAGATCCACTTTTGAGATCCAAGCATTGGGCGGAAGTAGATGCTTCAGATGATCATCTTGATTTTTTTATTTTTTTTTTTTTAATGAACTTGTTCAGGATGGAAAAATCTAAAATCCACCTCAACCCACTCACAGAATTACAAATTCTGTAAGGGTGTTGGTTTCTGGCCACTTCTTTTGTAACACTAGCGGAGGGTGCCTAAACCAAGTCCATGTGAGGCCCCCTTTGATTGTCTTGTACACCCATAAGGAAGAAGTCCACCTGTTTTCCCAACCCCCTAGACGACCCAGCTGTCTGGCTTCATTAGGAGAGAGTGATCGCTGATGTGGTGGAATAAGGTCTCCTTCCACTTCTGAACAAACGGCCACCCTTACTATGTCATGAATTGTTTCCTCCTCTAGTTTCCTTTATGTTGATAACTGAACCTAGCAGCTGGTCCTGTTCCACTGTTAAACCTTCCTTTTTTAAATTTCCGAAAGGTCTTGGGACTCCTGGGAACAGTAATATTAATAGCTTGTTCAACAGCTGGTCTATACTTAACTAATGCTTATTCCTCAAACAAAGCAGGAGAAAGAGGATAGAACATAGCAATAAATAAGCACTACCACTTAAAGCATTATTAGTGGCTTGCTTCTTTAGCTGGGCATTTAGTTTTAGGGCTTTCAACAACATTTCCATAAATGAGTTGTACAGGGAATATGGGATCCCTTGTATAGCAGCACCAAAACATGTGTCCACTTCTGAACTGTCCTCATAGTCCAGCACCAACTTAGTCAATAACTGACGCATCATGATTGAAGACCAAATATCCGCTGCCGACTTCCTAAATTTGATCTCTTCTTGCAACAGTGCAGAAGCAACTGGTTTCAAATTTATTTCATTGGATATGCCAGCATATTTTGGAGATGATAAATACTGGGAAAGTTCATATAAGGAACTCTTTTTGTCATTGCATTGGAACTTCAAAACACTAAACTTGTGAGCATTCCTGTCTGAAGGAATGAATGTTAAGTCTTTCAATATATTAGCCCAGACTTAATCTATTTCAGAGATCATTTTGGGGCAAATATCAGGCCAAGAACAATGAATGATGACCCACAGTTGCTTGGCCTTCCTTTCTCTTTTTAAGTACCGAGACATCAGGAAGTTTAAAAACATTTTCATAAGGAATCCAGACTCAGATGTGGTTGAAAACAAAGAAGACTTAGGTCTTACCAATGTTACCCAAGGCCTGTTTGGATCATCCTAACACTCAATGTTATCCATCAGTTGCATGGCAGTCAACAGCAGCCTGTTTCTGCTCATAGTAACCAACACTTTTGCCCCAGGTGGAAGAGGTTGCCAAAATGGGGACAGGATGAAGTCAGTCTCAACAGGTTCTCCTTGCTCTAGTGACTGAACACTGTTAGTACCAACTTCCTCATCCTGATCCTGGAATCTACTAAAATCAGGCTGACTAGATAAGAGGTTCTTACCTTAAATATCCAATAACCTACTCTTCTTAGCAGAAGCAGGTTGGTCTAACTGGGGATTAAGTCTCTTACCTATCACCCATAATTCTAAACTTTCTGCCAACTTGGGATCTTTCTAGTGTTTAACAATTAGAATTTTGCTCTCCAAGGCCTTATTCCATCAATTTTTAATTTGTATCTTTGATAATTCCTTCTTATCTCCTGCAGCTTGATTAATTTAAAAAATCTGATCATAACAAACTGCACAATCCAATGGTGAAAACTGGTTGTCTGAGACACAGCTGCCATGAATTATGCAAGCCAAATGGGGATCTAACTTGGTAAGCCAAGTTGCCCTACTTCCTTGATAATTACATGTAGTATGGTCCCCTTGGGTCCTGGGTGAAACTACTACTACTACTGACAGACATTTCTTTGTATGTAGTGTATGAGCTGAGCTCTCCATTCCTTGCAGCTCCTCACTCAACACGAGTTCCCCAGGGACCGTTCCATGGTCTCCTCCATCATCTAGCAGTCCAGAGAACTGTCTTTGATCCTCCAGTTGCACATCACTGATCTAAACTAGGAGGAACACTATGAGTCACATTGTTTCATAATAATAATAATACAAGGGCGATTACATTTTCTCCCAAACATAATCAATATGTCTCGTAACTGTGATATATTAGTAAGTTATTTCATTTAATATCTCTTATTGTTATATAAGTCACCAGTGTGACAATCATAAACAACTAACTCACTATATCATACACCTTTCCCTTCTCTTATCTCAATTATCCCTCAGCTCAATGAACTTTGTTTCTTAATCAAGCTAACTTTATTTAAAGCACTTATATTTTGGAGGATCACCAAGTCCTCTATTTGTTGCCAATAAGGGTGCACAGACATCACCGCTTCAACTAATCATGCTTGAGCGATGATGTCTGAGTGAGCATCAAGTCACCTGGAAGGGTTGACAGTGCTAACATCATTCACCATTACTTTAGCAAGATGTATTGGGCTGAGAATTCCACCCTAAATGGTTTTCATTCAACCCATACTGAGGATACTAGGTTCATCCCAACATAACTCTTGATTGCTAGTAAGACCGGAGGTCAGCATCCGGAAGGATCACTAAGACTAGCAGCCTCGCTAAAGTTCACCTGGAAAGGCTGAACCCGTTACTGAGGACATGAATAAAATAGAGCTTTGAAGAGAAAACTTAACTCTGGCCTGAACGCTAAGAGTACAACATAACTCTAAATTGCTAGTAAGACCGGAGCGTCCGGAAGGATCACTAAGACTAGCAGCCTAAGTAAAGTTCGCCTGGATAGGCGAAACCCGGTACTGAGGACATTAATAAAATGGAGCTATGAAAACTTAACTCTGGCCTGCATGCTGAGAGTAATCAGAAAACCCAAGGCGGAAGCCCGAAGTTTCGTCAATGAACATGAGAAGAGGGAGAGGGATGGCCACATACATCATGGTATTCATTATTTGCACATACCTATATAAAATTGGGAAAAATAATTTTTTTTATACAGTATATAAATCTATATACCCTACAGTGGTCCCTCGGTTAATGAACGGTCCAATTAACAAAATTTCTGTTAACGAATTAGCTCCCATAAGGATTTTCAGTTCGATTAACGAACAAACTTCGATTAACAAAAGCCTTACGAGAAACACGTTTTGTTGTGCACATCAGCTGATCAGCTAGTCCATTACAGTAATCGGTTCTATGTTTACATTCGTTTCCAGTGGAATAAATATCAAGAAGGTTGTGCTCTTTAATATTTTAGCATTTTTTATATTAAAATTATAAGTCATTCTAAAATATAGTTATCATATTGATAATATATGCAGTACAGGGAACTAGTTTTTGTGCGCCAGTCAGCCGCTTAACTCACCCGCCAAAGCTTCTTCTGTTTAACTTTGTTTACAGTGGAAGAAACATCGAGTTTGTTGGTCTCCTGAATATTTTTACATTAAAATTATTGGTCATTCTGAAATTTAGTTAACATATTGATAACATATAGCGCAGTGCAGTGTTCATTTAAATAAAATAATCTTGAATTACAGCTAGTGAACTTAAAATTTTATTGGTGAAATTACTGCATCAGGCATGGGTGAGAATGATGATTCCCCTCAGTGTTCCTCTCCAAAAAGGAGAGAGGATTTTCATGTTATAGAATCTGTCAGTCCAGAGGTTCCTGACATTATTATGGTAGGTGACTTGCCTTCCAAGAAGCATTAAAAATGCTTCTCTTCTCCCTTCTCCTCCAACCCCCCTTCCTTCTCTTCAACCTTCTCCTCCACCTCCCACTTCTAACTCCCATCATCATCATCAACCAGCAACATTCTACATACACACCTCAAAGTAAGTGTACAGTACTGTACAGTACTGCATTTTGTTTATACTTTATAAGTACTTTTCTGTGAGTTGGAACCAATTACCCAATATCCCATTGAATTAATAGATTCGGTTAACAAAATTTTCAGTTAACGAACGACTCTGTGGAACCAATTGTGTTTGTTAACCGAGGGACCACTCTATATATATTCTTTCAGTGAAAACGAGCCCGGAAGGGCATAAAACACAGTCATTCACTGAGTGACCTGAAAGCAGAGGAAATTAGTCACTTAAGATCGACTGCCTTCCTAGAGATAGAAGACGAGCCGTGGTTGCCATGCTTGACCAGACCGTATAAAAAATTGCCCCAAACACAATATCTGAGACACGAATCAAAATAAAAGTCTCTCGATTTCTTCACCGTACTAAGATGTACAAATACCAAAAATAAAATCCTCGTGGCACATAATATTACAGCTATTACAACACAAATTAGAGGTGCTTTCCTTGCGCGTATTTACAGCTGATTCGCCAGGCAAAAAGATGACGGTAGCAGTGTGTGTGATGGAGGGGGTTTTGAGGATTGCAATTAAATGCCAGGTAGCGACGTGTCCTCCTAATATTACGTATTTAAGTAATTATTAGATGTTTTAAATGCCTGTATCAGGGCCGGATTCAGGAGTGGGCAAAGTGGGCAACTGCCCAAGGGCCTCCACAATCTGGGGGCCTCCACATATTACAATATTTTATTTATTTGTTTATTCATTTGGATTATTTTTATTTTCAATCTTTAAAATTCATGTTTATCTATTCCATCACGTAAAACTATGTTCAGCAAGAAGCGTGATAGAAATTAGGCTAGCTACTCCATGAAATTCATGAATACCTGGTTTTCCTATGAAGCGTATGTTTTTAATGAATGCTATTTTTTGTGTTGCTAATAATATATTTAGAATTCCACAAACATATATTGATTAAAAATGAACTACGTGTCTCACTTTTGTGTGTGTGTGGGGAATTTCCACACTATCAATAAATATACAGTTAATTAAAAATTTCTCAATGTTCTAATATCCTCAATATAACTGCATATGGCTTCAAAATTCTCAAAAGAAGTGTTCAAATTTCAAAATTTTCCCGGGGGCTTACAGTGCCCCCCGGAACTCCCAGATATTTAAGTTCGCTTCACTCGCCACCCCACCCTCTTGGGCCTCTACAGGTCTAAATCCAGCACTGGCCTGTATGTCGGCCTGGAGAGTTAAAGCTAGGCATTTACATACCTAGGTATAAAGCTAGAAGTCGCATTCTGGATTGAACAAAAATGGGATTTTACTTTAAAAAAAAATTGTGGTGAACGTATTGGGATCCCCCGTTCATAAGTGCGGGTGATGATAAGTCGGACGATCGTAACTTGGGGACTGCCTGTACCTGTATATCATAAATAAACAGATTATACTACTGCATACACTATACTACACAAATCGGCAGATGCTGCCGTCTTGAGCTTGAACTTCAGGCAGGCCAAATGGTCCTGTACCATGTCCTGAAGCAGGTGTTGTTAATTGTCACCCTCCCCTCATTCCACGAAGGAGAGATTGTTTTTCTGTTATTTTTTTACGGGGAATAGCCCACCTGGCCACAGGTCATCGACCCACAACGGGGCCTAAGAGATGAAAAAATAAGAGTAAAATCAAATTCAAAATAGAAAAGAAAAAGATTATAATAATCTACACCACGAAGATGCTGGAAAACCAGCGTTTTTAAGTGACAGAATGTATGTGTATGGAAACACAAAAGGCAGAGCATTCTAGTGTGACCGACATCCACAGAGAAACTGTGGGCACTGCGGGCAAGACGAGTGTTACGAGCCTGTGGCCTTGCCGGCGGTACACAGGATGCCAAATCCACCGAACATTGCCCGTTAAAGTACCTGTAAAAGAGAAAGTCAAGCAACATTGCGGCAAAGAGAAAGGGAAGAAAGTTTATCAACTAAAGGAGAAGAGTTAATAAGATGAAATGCCTTTGATTCCACCCTATCTAACAGTTGGACAGAAGAAGAGCCACCCTAGATATGAGAACAGTACTCCAAGTCAGGACGAATGAATCCCATATATGCTTGAAGCAACTGCTAAGGAGTGAAGTAGCTACAGCATCTGTACAGCATTCCCAGCTTTTGGGAGGTATGCACTGTATACTGTACATGCACCCTCTACACACTAGCCTACAGTAAGCATACACTGTCCACTATGTCATGTACAGTATTGTCCATATGGTATTTTCACACTTACTGATTTTAACGGTATTCTTGGCGGATTATATACTGGTACAGTAATGTACAGTACTGCACAACACAGATCGTATGTGAAAACAACAGTGAGTGAGCAAACAAGCTTGTACAATGGCAGCAAACAATGTGCTAAAACTGTCATAATGCAGGAGTTTGAGGATATAGGCTGCAAGACACGTACCAGTAGTGGCCAATTGTAGCTCACAAGCACTCTGCACTCTTAGCCTACCCACCCATGCCCCAGGCATGTGTATCTGTGTCTGAAACATGTTGCAATCTCCCAAAAATTAATTCCCATGCCCGGAACAGCGAGATTTTCTCTGACTTTTCTTGAAATGCACATGATTCCATCCTCAGAAACTCGTTCCCATGCCCGGGATGGATATATTTTTCCCAGAATTTCTCAGAAGGCCCAAATTTTTTTCTCCAATTATTGGAGATGTATGTATGTATGTATGTATATACAGTAGACTCGCAACTTACTCGTATTTTTCTTAGCGGGTTCAATTATACGCGGATTACCCCGGGGGTTAGGTTACAGTATTTATTTACTTTTTATTTTTTAATCCTCTTCACCATTGATCAGCTCGTTAGCCACTTGGGCGATCGGTCACGTCTCTGTTACGCACTGTTGGCAAGTACTGCGCATGCACCAGCTCCTGCATGTACCTGAACCTGCTCCAGTGCTTGTCAAGTCTGGCCTTGAAACAGGTCACACTCGGTGCCGTCACAACTCTCACTCCGAAAAAGTTACCCCTCACAGTTTTCTGGACCTGCGGCTTCTTCAACCTTGAGCTGTGGTGCCCTTGTGGGGCGAGCCTCCACCAGTTCCAGATAAGGACACTCAACTGAATTAGGTCCCCCCCTTGACCGTCTGTAGTATATTATAAGACCTAAGAATTTAGTTGCCTGATTCACCTTCTCGCAATAGCCCAAGAACTTCAGCTTATTGCCAACTTACACACCAAGGTCCTTTTCACATTCAGTCGCAATTAATGCAGTTTCTTCGTCCCGTTGGGACATATGATATGCCTCCTTACCATTGGTATGCCTCAGGTGCATCCACTTACACTTCATGACTTTGTATCTTAGCAGCCATTTCTTCTACCATTCTTGAAGCTCACAGAGGTCCTTATGCAGTTCTTCACAGTCTGCTTGATTCTTAATTTCCCAAAATAACTTAGCGTCATCCACAAAAATTTGTATGGAGAAATGTACAACGTCTGGCGTGTCACTGATGAAGCAATCAAACAACAGCAGGCCCAATACACTGCCCTGTGGTACCTAGCCGGTGACAGGACATTTACCCGAATCCTGTACCCTTCCAGTTTAATTTTCAGCCTTCCATGGGGTATGCTGTCGAAAGCCTTGGCAAAATCTAGATATATATTGTCGATATTACCACCCTGTTCCAGAATTTGGGTCCATACATCCAGTACCTTGAGTAATTGAGCTTAGCAAGAGCGTCCCGCCATAAAACCGTGTTGGCAATCTTTACAAGGTTGTTTCGTAGTAGATGTTCCATTATGGCATCTCTTATATTGCTCTCACGTACTTCACATACTATGCTAATCAGGCTCACTGGTCTATAGTTATTTGTGGAGCGGCGATCGCCCTTCTTGAAGATAGGACTCACATAAGCCATTTTCCAATCACTGAGGACCCTTTGCTCATCCAGGCATTTACAAAACAGGATCTTCAGAGGCTCAGCAAGCTAGCTCCAATGGGAATGATACCCAGAGAGGGATGTTGTTTCTCATTCAAACAAGGATAATGGGATACGTATATGAATATTTATAGGTTGTAACTACTGTGCCAGATAAAAATGAAGGTAATGGTCAGTCAAAAACAAACCTGAAGCTCCCCGAATTACTAGAGAAAAATTAAATGAGTGTAAAAGCAGCTAAATATTCATTGCACCATAATAGAAAGGAATGACCTACTTGTACACAACCTAGTAACACCCAGACTGAACTTTGTTCGCTCATCTAAAGACTTAATTCCCAAGCCTAAAATTGGTGAACTTATAAATTACACTTGGTGAATATTTCACACACATCAAATGTAACTACTAATACAATTACTCATCATAATCAATTTGCATTAACATATCAAACATTTCATTCCAATATTTTGTGTACAGTCTTTCACGTTTTGTAGGGTCTTCCTTCCTTTTGATATTTCCTTTCTTCACACTACTTTAGTTCTAGTTATAAAATAGCAAATTTTTCTCTTACCCATGTTCATCATGTCATTCTGTGCTTGGGTAATGTCTGCATTCAGTTCTCGTTCAGATCCTTTGAACTTGTCCTCCAAGTTCTTGCGAGCAGCCTCACTGTTGTGCCTCTGACAGTCCAACTCATTTTGGACTGCTCGTAGACGCTGCTCAGATTTCTCCAACTGAAAAAGTTCATATACTGTATATTGTTATATTCCTGAACTTTTTGCCTCTCCTGTTATCCTATGGAAATTTTGTCCAGAGAAACCTTTATGGTGATCTTAGACCACAAAATTCTTGAGATATTGCACTGAAAAGCACAGTGCTGAACTAATGCTGAAGTCAACTGACAATGAATTCACAAAGATCAGATCATAATTGTGGAGACCAGTATAGTAACTTTCATTGACCTTTGACATACAGTACTACAGATGTTCAGTGGAGTAAAGGAGTTAGAGATAAGGTGGCCAACTAACAAAGGCAGTCCCCTTCAGCTGTGAAAAGTTTTATAAAGATCAGTTCATAAGTGTGGAAGCTGGCGAGATAATTTTTCAGTGACCTCTTTGACTAATTTTGACCTAGCAAGGGCAGCTGTGACTATACTGTACTGTATTTTCAACAGTGCTTAATCAATGTGCATGCTAGTCTAGGAATATGACTTTTTCTGTTAACCTTCGTCTGATGTTAACCAAAATGTTCAATGCTAACTTACTGCCACATCCAACAGCATGTAAATTTGGCATGAACTGTTGATGCTAGTGTGGTAGCTTCCAATGTCCTTTGAGTTAACCTTAGCCAGTCACAGGAAATAAAATGGCCATGAGACCAGAGGTCGCTAGTAAAATGTGATTCCTTCCAACATTGAATATTTTACATTCATTAATTAATACAGTAACTGTAGAAGCTTGATACAATAGGATGACCTTCATCCCTGACATTATCCCAAAAATGATCTGAAAAGTACAGTGTCTATTTTAGGCCTAAGCCAACTACTAATGTAATTACTTTAAAGATGCAATGAAAACTGTGAAAACCAGCGTGTGCACAATCATACAGACACAGACAAATACTCTAACCAAACCAATCAGTATACATTGTATAGTAAATCGTGCATATTTTATTTGGTTGGATTCCCAAAGTCCCTAAGGATTTTAAATCAATAATAACTTTAGAAAACAATGGTTAACGTAATACAGTACATCTCAAAAGTTTTCCCTAAAATTCAACTAACCGCCCCCCCCCCCCCTCCTTGCCCAAAAAAGTGTTAATGTATTTTCAAAATATTTCCACAACAAATCCTATGCGAATAAAAATCACTTAATTATTTTTTTTTTTTTTTATAAAACACATGGGGTGCAACAAATACCTCCCCATCCTCTGAGTTGGTAATTTTACACTTTTGTGATTATGGCACAACACTAACATACACACACACACACACACACACACACACACACACACACAAATAAATAAGACAATACAATACAGGACAGATAGATAGATAACCAGACAGACAGAAAGATAGGTAGGTAGATAGTCTTATGAAAACAAAGATCAAGAAACCCTTATACATTTGGCTAAATGCATAGATAAAAGAGCCTAAATACCTTGCCAGCTGCTTCCTCTGCAGCAGACTTAAATGTGGACAACTGTTCATTTGCAGCTTTAAGAGCTTTCTCTTGAACAGCAAATTCAGTATTTGCTTTATCTATTGCTGTCCGCATGGCTGTTACCTCCTGCTGTAACTTACTCGTATCAGGTGAGGATGAACTTGACGATTTAAGACCTGTAAAGAGAAATTTACTATAATGAGGATTTTTCAGTAATGACCTCCTTAGTACTAATTGCATAGTTCAACAGAATCAAGAAGAGCCATCACTCCATACAATATCCCTTTACAGGCGAGATGAATATTTCCCGGGCAAAATTAATTTGACTTATATGCAGGAATGGCCATCATTCCTAATCTCCCTTATGAGGTATTAATTTCCTTTGTAATTCTCTACAGCAGCGATTTTCAACCAATGTGCCGCGGCACATTAGTGTGCCGCGAAGCATCCGTAGGTGTGCCGCGGGAGTTTAAATAGCATTTGGATACGTTTTGACATTACAGTAAAAGTCCAAAAATCCGGATGCCAGAGATCCAGACCACCCGAGAATCCGGACTTTTCGAAAACTAAATTTATTCGTTTATTTTATTTTTTTAATTTAGCGGGCTTTTGAGTGTATGTGCGCATGCGTGAGTGCCACAGCTGCATAACGACAACAAGCGACCATGCAGTCACCACTTTAAAACGAGCAATCAAACTGTGACAACGTATGTAATTTTGAGTCCTACTCTTTCCATTTACAGAGTACTGTACAAGCCCATAATAATGGCTCCAAAAGTAGATAAACTTTGTTGTCTGAAGAGAAAGAAGAACACATTGAAATTGAGTGAAAACTTGAAATAATTAAGAAACTAGAACGTGGTGTGAGCAATACTGATCTAATGGAAACATACGACATTGGGAAGTCTACAATTTATGATATAAAAATGGCAAAGAATAAAATTTTAGAATTCACGGCTTCTTCTTTAAAACTGCTCGTTTTGATAAATGAAGCATGCTATATTTCCTAATGAATAAACTATCAAAATGTACCTGTTCATCTCTTCTTTATTCCTCCTTAAATTTGAATTTTAAAAGTACTGCCTAAGAATCCGGAAAATCCGAAAATCCGGACCGACCCAATCCCCAAGCAGTCCGGATTTTTGGACTTCTGCTGTACTAGTACTTTTATGGAGCGCATTAAACTCCTTTTTTTGAATGATGCAATAAATAAACAAAGGTGTTGTTCAATAAAAGACCAAATGGCGGTTTTAAATTCTCTCCTTAATTCTGCAGTGTAGATCCGCCGATCAAATCTATCCTCAAATACTGATGGTGTGCCCCGACCATTTTAGTGCCTGGCTCACTGTGCCGTGAGATGAAAAAGGTTGAAAATCACTGCTTTACAGTATAGGTATACCTCTGGTAACGACGTCGGTATGTTCACAAACTCCACTTTGGTCTCAGAAACTTCGTTGTCAGAGGTAAATTTAACAATGAGCAAATGGGAATGAGTTCCAGTCCTTTGTTGTTCTGTATTTTGCCTGCTCCTGACAAGACACTGGCTCACTTTATGACAAAAAACACCAAGCTACTCAGATGTTTTAATTGCCTGTATGTTAGCCTGGCGAATTGGCTAGGAATTAACATACCTAGGTAGCATTGCTGAACGTCGCATTCGAGCTATATCACATGTTACGAACCTCTCCACCAATTGTCATGATCTACCTACCCAGCACTACGAATCACGCCATCTATTGTCCTGATCTACCTACCCAGCACCACGAGCAACGCCATCTAGGGACGAGACACGAGTATGACTCGTCTTAGTTAACACTCCGGGGTTTCCCTTCTCCATATCCTGGTTGTTGCGTCACTTCCTCCAAGTCTTCTTTGTGAGCTCCAATTCGAGGAGAGAGCACTTGGCTCTGGGAAGTGACCACAGGATCATCTATCCTCTAAACCTACGGCGCAGTGACTACCTACCGTCTTCTACAATACTCAGCCTTACTCGTCAGCCATCTCAGCTCCTCACTTAAGTACTTGTATCTTGTATTGCCTCCCCCACGTCCACTTGCTTCAAAATGGTTTATGTTGTATTAATATGTATATACTGTTAATGTTTAGGTTAAGTTTGGTTAAGGGTAATTTATAAGCTGAATATTTTGTTTAGGGATTTATGGTACTTTATTATACACAACGAAAACTCGCATTCTTTGTCTACCCTTTTATAGTCCGATTGTCTTTGTTTTTTTGTTGTTGTTACCTGTTGGGATCTGGGTAGACGTATAACTATATTCTAAATCCCCAACTCGTAACACACAAAAACTGGTTTTTAGAAAAAACCAGCTTTGTGATATACAATACTGTAGTCCAGAATGCGACGTCTACCTTCTTACCTAGGTATGTTAATGCCTAGCAATAACTCGCCAAGCCAACATACAGACAATTAAAACATCTAATAATTACAGTCTCTCCTTGACTTACGACATATTTGACTTACGACAACCCGGACATACGACGGCCATGGTCGTATAAAATATTTTTCACATTACGTATTTTCGAGTCCCAACGTTAGTGATCGTGCTGTGTACTGACAAAATTTTTGTTTGTAATTACCTTTAAATGGCTGGCAAGCGTTAAAGTGAGAGTTTACTTAATACATAATATTAGGACACATCGCTGCTTGCTTGTTTGCTGGTGGTGGTAAATGTACCTGTGATGAAGGTGTTACGTGGTTACGTGTGGTGGTAGTACAGTACAGTACTTACCTATGGTGGTGGTGTTCCATGTGATAGTGGTATTACCTGTCGTGTTTGTGCTATCTGTGGCAGTGGTAGTAGTGGTGTTGCTTAGCCCTTAGGCCCCGGGTGATGTTCCAGAACGTCCGCCCATTTTTGCGCCATTTTTTTTTTAATAATTTTCTAAATGTTGATTTTTTTCTCGATTTAACTCCGCATGAGGGGTACTGCCAGCAGCACCCTAACCCAGGGCTTAAGGGTTAAGATGGTACTGTTATTTATACCTGTAGTAACAGGCATCACAGGAGATGCTTGCCTAACTTCAAGAGGGGATGAAGTGCCACAGAGCAATCCATGTTAATATACTGTCTACAGCACCATTACCAACCTCCCTCATAATTATAAATCCATTGATAAAATTGCTGATTATACTCTTAAATTATTTATCTTTATTCATGCATATTTTGAAGGTATGATAAGTTCTTCACACCAGTGACTGTTTTATGTTTACTCTTATTGTGTACATTATATCCTTCTTACCAATGTTTTTTGGGGTATGCCTTCAGGTCATTAGTTTTCTCAATCAAGAATAATTAACACCATGACAGGAGGCTATCATGTTCATGACATGCATGCATGCACATACTTATACACTGTGAAAATCGACTTTTCCATCCTAAAAACCAATAACAAAGGCACTTATATGGCCCATGGAGTGCATTCTTCATAGTCCAATATCTGTGCAGACTAGCAGCAAAATGATGAAAACTTCAAGTCCCATTTTCTATAAAGATCAGTGGATTTGGTGAAATGTCAGTATTTCTCCTTACCAAGGGTGCACCCCATTCTTTTAAGAATTGAGAGATCCATGTTTGCTCAGGATAAGCTGTTCAGTAAGATATTTCACCAATATTGTCAGAGCATAACAATTCAGCTCTGTGACAGGCCTATAGCAAGCCATTGCAAACATAAAAGATATTACAAAGAGAACAACAAGAATATTTTCTTCCTTGATTCACTTATAGCATAATCTATATGAAAGGCTATTATTAATTTGTAAGAAAACATCATCCACTATTCCTGAACATTTTTCTCTAGAATCCAATAAAATCAATTAGCTACTTACTTTCTATTTCCTTCTTATACTGGTCAATCATATTCTCCAACTGCTTAGTGTACTCGTCATTGGGTCCTGGAACTGGGGGAATAGTTAGCAGAGATGAAGTTGAGTGGTGCTTTTTTGGTGTTTTGAACAGGTTTCCCTCACTCTTTCCAAGACCTGGTCAAAAGAACAGCAGTGAGTGAATTCAAACAAACTTTTCAAAATATTTTCCAATGTGATGATACTGTACAGTACAGAACTTATAAAAAAATTCAAAGTGGATGGGAGAAATAAGGAAATTCTGGAGCATGTCTATAAAAAAGTCTTAAATAAAATTAATATGTACCTTTACTTTGGAGAGTCTGATAAGGAGTTTTAAATGGGTTTTCCTCACTTGTCTCCAAAGCCTTTTTTGGTGTTTTATTTGGAGTACGTTGACTCCACTTGTTACTCCTCTCACTAGAGTTACCCCAGAAATCTCTGTCACTGTCTCCCACAGCAGCAGAAGTAGAAGTTACACAGACATCAATGCACTGTGGAGAGAATGTTTATATGGTAATCTACTGTACATATGAAATATATTTCAAATCATTTTTAGCCCCTCTCTTGCCACACTGCAGGGAGGCCAGAACCAGAAACAAAAACAAACAACTCTCTTTATTGTTGACATCCACTCACTCGAAGATTTAATCTTACCATAGGCCACTCATTGCCATTATCATTTTAGGGTTTTCACACACAAATTTATGTATGAAGTTAAAAAAAATTAATTTAAAATTTTATGCTTTCTTCTGAACTCTATACAGTAGGATTGGGATATATCGCGAGATAGGGTCCAAGGATGTCCGCTATACCTGCATACTAAATCGCGATATATAATTACATGTAATCAATGGGGAATATAGGGTTAGGTTCTGGAGGCCAATAAAAGTGACTAAACTTGACATAAAATGGCACAGTCTAAAGTTAGCAGAATATAAATTACATTGCTAGAATCCTTGCAAGACAGTGAATAATTTGAATATAAATGTCATATATTTTGCACAAGAGATAAAAATTAATCACCTGTACTATCACATTACAGTAGTGATTTATGAGTTTTAGAGCGCACGCGAGCACGCTCGCACACACACACACACACACACACACATAGTTTTTTTAGGGCGATTTAGGTGTATTTCTGACTTTACATGAGACCCCAGGAACGTAATCCTCGCATAAGTTGCGAGTCTACTGTATATTGGAAAATTATGGTAGTGATAAATTTGAAATATTTCCTGCACAATTTCCCTCGCATAAGTGACAGTGTGTCTGGCCCTTCAACAAGCAGTCCTAGTGCAAAAGGAACTGGTTGGCATGTTGTTGTGGCTAAAAATAAAAAAAGTGTTGCTCATGAGGCTTCTCAGCCATCCCAGGGTGGCTTACCTCACCTGCCTGACCCCTCATCATCCTCACAAGTGCACACAACCTGTACCCCCACTAAAACTATATTCAAACACCTTGTTCAAGCTAAGTACCGCACTGTGAGGCAAGGAAATGACCCAGAGCTAATGATAAAGTACTTGACGATTATAATCGAACAATTGCAAGTACAGTGGTCCCTCGGTTAACAAGCGCCTCGGTGAACGAGTTACCTTCCATAAGATTCTTAACTTCGGTTAACGAGCAATCCCTTGATTTACGAGTTTCTTACGAGCCAACCTGAACATGATTTCGCTTGCATATGGCGGTCCACCAGCTGTAGTATTAGTCCGCCAATACAGTAATCGGTTCTAGGGCTTAAATTCCTTACCATTTTAGCAAATATCAAGAAGTTTATACTATTCAATAATTTTAAAAGTTTAATATTAAATTTTTTACTCATTTTAACAATTATTGAACATAATTGAAGGTAATGAAACTAGTTTTATGCATGCCATCCAGTCTCTCAACACACCATACAGGCGTCAGTCTTTGTATCTTTTCAGTGGAGGTAACATCTTGCTTGAGACTCTTCAGCTAAATGCTTTTTTTCTGTTTTTGCAAGCAAATTATTGGTCATTTTGAAATTATTTTACATATTGACAATATATAATGCAGTGCAGTGTTGATTTAAAGAAAATAATCTTGAATTGCACCAAGAGAACTAAAATTTTATGGGTGAAATGGCGCCATGGGGTGACTTCTCTTCTACCCCAATGCCTTCTCTTCTCCCTTCTCCACCCCCATTCTAATTCCCATCATCATCATCCAGGAGCCTTCTACATACACACCTCAAAGTAAGTGTACTTTTCTACCATTTTTGTTGAATTTAGGCAATTTTCGGTGAGCTGAAACCAATTACCCAAAAACCCATTGAAACAATGGTTTCGGTTAACGAGTTTTTCAGTTAACAAGCAACCTTCTAGAACAGATTGTGCTCGTTAACCGAGGGACCACTGTAATAGAGTGACAGTGACGTGAAGTGCAACTTCCGGAAATTCTGAAAACATTTTCCAGTACCCCCTACCCAGAAAATTCCAAGGATGGGGAATGTTTTTCTGGGTTCGAGAGATGATGTAATGGGCAATTTATGGAACTTCCGAGAACATCTTCTCGTTAACCGGAAAACTCCGGAATTGAGGGATATTTTTCCGGCTTTGAGAGTCGTCTCATTATCCAGAAATCTCTCATTCCCAGAAGTGCTCTGCACCAATTGTTCAGGCTAACGGAGCTATCACTAATTATTCTATCCTGATTACTCATAAATAATTTATTATTCATAGATAATTTATCTATAATGCGTAAAATATACTATTACTGTCTAATACAGTAGAACGTCGATTTAAAGCGATTTAATTTAAGATCATTAATTTAAAGCTACACCAACAATCAAGGACAATGTTTCAATTTAAAGCAAATCTTTCCTATTTTGTGCAAGTCAATCTGGTGCATCAATTTTTAAAATTCGCGCCTAATGTTTCTCTTGGCACGCTATGCTGTCCTAAGGGCAAAACTGTACTGTACATGTACTCAAAATAATGTACTAAATGATTACTAAAAAATTTTATAGTGCAAACTATAACATGATTATATTCAAATTAATCACTATCTTATAAGAATTCCAGCAATGTAAATTATATTCTCCCCGGTCAATTCTGTGACATTTTATAAACAAAAAACAAAAACTCAATCCAAAGGACATAAATAAACAAACACAGCCACTCCTCGACTTACGACCACCCGGACATATGACCGCCTCAGTCGTACCAAAATTTTTTCAAATTACGTATTTTTGAGTCCCGGCGTCAGTGATCGCGCTGTGTACTGACGAAATTTTCGTTTGTAATTCCTTTTAAAATGGCTGGCAAGCTTAAAAGTGAGAGTTTTGTGGTGCTGAGAAGAAAAAGAGATACCCATTTTAGATTTTCTATGTATTTTCTTTGCATTTTCGACTTACGACCTGGATTTGGGTCTCTAACCCCGTCGTAAGTCGGGGAGCGGCCCCCAACTGTCAAAACGTGTCACTGCCCTCCCCCATCTTCCCAGCCAGGGTTGTGTAGCTATAGGCTTACAGTTTTTATCTTATATAATATCACAGACTAAAGTTAGAATATAATTTGCATTGCTAGAATCCTTGCAAGACAGCGAATAATTTGAATACCTATAAATGTCATATATTTTGCACAAGAGATAAAAAATTTTGCCCTTTGTAATAAAATTAATTAGAACATGTCAGTTGTGACATTTTATAAGAGAAAAACTTAAAGTCATTCTTAAGGACAGATAAATAAATATTAAGCACTAGAACTTGGCATCAATTGTCAAACATATCACCTCACCCCCCCCCCATCAGCTGATCACTAGTAAACAACCATTTCACGTCCCATAATTTTAGCTGTGTTGATTTATGAGTGTTTGTTTTAACATAATATACAACAAAAAACAATGTTCTGTTTATTCTAGGAGATGGGCTGAGGTGCATCTGGGTAGACTCTCAGTCTATTTAGTATTTTGTGTTTCTCTCAAGTACCACACTAAATTATTCCATTGAAACAACACTAATTTAGTGTGAATTCAGTTTAAAGCGACCTCTCTTGGAATGTATCTCATGTTATATCGACGTTCTACTGTATCTTCAACAAAGACATCTTTTCTAGAACAGTTAATGTCACAAGCTTACGTTTTGCTGCATTACAACCACTTCCACTGCTTGCTGGTCTCTTAGGAGGCATATTTTGGGGAGCAATATTTAAAGGAAAATAGTGGAAACAGCCACTAGAAGTGAGCCATGACACCATCCCGAACTATCGAAGCTGCCAGATTATCGGGTGCCGAATTAGTGGGGTCCAACCTGTACATGTACTTTTAAATATTTTTCTTGTTTCATTATTCCATTGCCTAGTACAAGTGTCTAGGTATGTTATGATGCCTTTTGAATTTTGTTACAGTTTAGCTGTAAGTGATTTTGGAATAAAAAAAATCCATCCCCAGCAGTTCACACACAAATGGTTACAAATTTGAATCAATGAAATTTTGAAGAAATAAAAAATAAATTATAAAAACTAATAAATACCAGCACTACAAGCAATATTACTGCACAATGGAGGGCAGGAGTATGTGTGTGAAGGACAGTGGGAAATGGAAAGTGCACAGCACAATCCTGTTTGACTGCTGGGAGACTACTGATGTGCTCAAGCCTTGCAGACCTTGTGCTAAGAGGGGTTGCCATATATCTACAGTAATGAGTGTTGAAATACCATGAGAGAACAGTTCAAGGAGTGACTCACCAAAATCTCATGTGTCAGTCATAATTACAGAACTTGATTTTTTATTGGTAATGCATACATCATGTCATGGTGCACTGAGTGTTTAGGTATTATATAAAAAAAAAATATATACTGTAAATTAAATAGACTAAGTATACAGAATAAATTTGGTACAGTACTTGTACATTACAGGATCTTACATTGGGCTTTCCCCATTCATGATGCTTGATTTTCTCAAACTTGGTTTCAATTACTGTATCACAGGATTGCGGGGTCTCTTGGTGATAGCAGAGGGATCACTACTATGCTTGGATGCCATTGTGTAGATTCACAAAAGGATGGCACGAATACAAATAGATAAAGAAAAAAGTATTTCACTTACACACAAAAAAAGCAAAATGAGCGAGAGAAGCTGCGGGATGCATCCCCCTGATGCAGGAGGAGAGAGTGATGTCATGCGCCTTGAGAGAATACACCACCTGACCCAAAATCATTGTCCATTAGCTAAGATTTGGTACTTGTCATTTTTACCAGTAATTTACCCTGTTGATCCGGAACTCATTTCCATTCTAGTTTCTTGTACCTGTATAAAACAGACATCCACCTTTCTACATCTCAATGTCTCAACAATTTCACTTGATCTTCCCTGCACAGTACTGTACTGTACAAATATTCAGACTTCCAACTCTGAACCCGCCTACAGTATGTCAGGTTGCTCCACTTTACTTTCATGCAGTTTTCTTTGGTAAGCACAGTGTGTAGGTGGTTTGTGCCCAGTAAAAATTTTACCAAGAATTTGGGGATGTACAGTATTGTCATATCTAGGTACAGTACGTAATATGTTTAAAGAAAGGTACTGAGCATAGCAAGGGAACCCAAACAGTTTGCCACCATAAACCCAAGAGCTATCTAAAAAAAATTAGGCATTGTTGCTGAAAATGTAAAAATCATAAAGTAACAAGTATCTTATTAAAAATTACCTGGTGAAGCATCTTTTGCTCTGATAATTTGGATTGTAGGTCCTTATTCTCACACAACAACTCATCCACCTTTTTTCGCAAGCTATCCATCTCTTCCCCTGGGAAAAAAGGAACTATTTAGTCTAGTTTCATATATAATGTCAGTAGTTTACTATCCCATAAAAGAAAAGTTTATCAGCAGAAAACAAGTACATTATTACTGTATAAAAAACTTTTGAATGCCATCCTATATCTAAAAATCCTATATACAGTAGAGATTTCACACAATAACTGACCACATCTTTAGGTGTTTGAAACTGTAACAACATTTGAATAATTTACTTAAACATTCTATGCATTTGCTTGAAGAATCCTCAGTTGCCTTCACAACAGAGGTAGGTTGAGATGATCTGGGCATGTGGAGAAAATATATGAGACCAATTGGGTCAAGAGATGCACGAGTCTAAAAGTAGAGAGGAGGAAAACCAGGAGTACGTCAAGAATGATATGGGGAGAGGGATGTACAAAATTCCATTAGAGTTAAGAATCTGACAAGAGAAGCTGCAAGAGACAGTGCAGCATGGAAAGCTGCCATCAGGTAATCGCGGGTAATCTACGCAAGCGTGGAGAGCGACTATAAAACATTGTTGATGATGATGAATCTAGACCTTTAACAATAACCCAAAAATTAAGAAGGATCTATCTTTCCCTTGGGCCAAGAAATCTATCATATGCTCGTCAGTGAATGAAAACTAGTAACACTCTAAAATATTTAATTTTATATCTAGCAAAAAGTTAATTTAAAATCCTTATGGAACTTTTCTCCCTAAAGACAAGTACATATGCAAGATCATGTTCATCAGTGGAATAAAAAAACTCTAGTTAGGGTTCAGAAATCACAAAGTCGACAACGTATAACTGTATGGATGATGAATTTACCTCTGGCTAAAACTGGCAAAAGGTTAAAAGAATATATGTGGAACAGCAGATGTGGGTTGCCTTAACAAGCACTTACATGTAGGAGAAAAGAAGGGAAGAATACAGAAGAGGTATGATGTACTGTACTGTACTTGTCTTTCTATTCACTAACAATGAAGTACTCTCTGAGTAAAACTGACAATCAAGAAAAAACTACACCTTGTAAATTGCAATGTTGGCGACCATGTAACTAACTTACAATACATTACCTTACAAACTACTCACATTGTAAATAACCCATACTCAAAATCATTTTGTGATGTTGTAACACCATTACAACTCGAATGTAAATATTGTAGAATATTTCTTCGTTCAGGCCAACTGGCCAATCACATTTACGCTTTCAAATCGTACCAACCAATCACAAGCTCACGATATCAGCAGGCTTGGGCATATATATGAACCACCATATATTATATGCATAAAAAGGGGGTATTTAATCTAGTGTGCATTAACTATATAGCCTTAATAAACATAACAAAAGTCATTTACTTAACAATCTTGTGAAGCTGTGAACTTGTGACAAAGATTTGAGTTTAGGAAACACAAATTAGGCCATATGATGCCGAATTAAACTAAAAGCTTAGAAGGCTTAAAACAAATAATGAAAGGAAAAAAAACATCATTAATAAATAGCATAGAACCCATCCCCCCCCCACCCGAAGAGGTGCTTACAACGAAGATCTCTAAGACTGGGGCACTCCACTAGGAGGTGTCGAACAGTCAATGGGACCAGGCAGTCATCACAATGGGGACGGGGCGCTCTCTCCATTAAAAAACAATGAGTCAGCCGTGTGTGGTGGCTGCTTGAGGGCCTAAGGCTACAGCCTTATTAGCCTTATGGTTAATCTGGCCCTGCAGGTAACACAATCACTGTGAATTTTAAAAGGCATGCTATTAACAGACTGATTTGTCTGCAAGCTGAGTTCCAAGACCAGTAGAAATATGAGCAGGATCATAAGAAATCAGCAAGAGAGTAGAGGCTTCAGCGTATGGTGCCAGAATGCCTGAAGAGGATAATGTCACCTGTATGAGTTGAAAGAGAATCTATAACTGCAGGTTGGCGAGGAGGCAGGAGTGTGATGCTTGAGGTGACATGGTCATATTGACCCTTCTGCAATTGAAGCTGGAGTTGTTCACAGCTACGAGCTAATTGTTCTATCTCTTTCTGTAGTACTTGCTTTTCCTTGGTACCCTCATCAGTCTGTTGAAAAATAAGTTGACTATACTTCAAAACAACAAAATTATTTAGATTGTCAAAAAAAAAGTACATTATTACAAATTCTTAGGGTACAATAAGGATCCAGAGATGCAAATTCACATATATCCACTTGCCTGGGAAGACCAAAATAACACAGGAGCAACAAGATATCACTAATTGGCCGTTTAGTTATCGTCTCGTAAATGAGTTGACCAGCAGTAAATGATATACTATATACACTGAGTTTAGTAAAACAAAACATTGGGATAGTTTGGCTATGTTAGGTTTACAATTCAATCTAATCAATATAATCAAATGGTGAAGAGTCTGGAGTGAACAATTGTCCAGAAACCAAACCAGTTGACTGACAAAACTAAGTTGCCAAGGAGTTTTAAACTTTTTGGTTACGTCACTTCACACTTGTTAAATATTACACACTGACAATGACATGTATTGCACATACTGCCTTTACTAAACTGTTACTGTAAGTGGTTGGTGAAATATGGCAAACAAGGGTGAGGAGCTAAAACAGGGACAGAACTGAGAGGGGCAGTGGGACATGCGTGAAACGGAGCAAAATGAGAGAAAGGGGATGATCTTATATACATCAATTACCTGCAGAACAGTGGAAGTACTGGACTGCAACAATGAGTTGGAGGTAATGCTTGACCAAGTCATGTGATTTATTATGATTCCATAAAAGAAATACTGTAGTTGCATGTAATAAATTTAGTATTACTTAGATGTGCACCTATTCCAGTACTGTACAGTACAGTACCAAAAATGACTAATGGTGTTGCATTGTTTCTCGTGCTAAATTTATACTGTACAACATTAACAACGAATTTCAGGTGAACAGAGCCTAGTACAGGTACTGAACTGTACCCAGTATATGCCAGTGTTGAAATCTTTTTTTAGTTGTTTAGGGATTAGTAAATTTCATATTCTACTATTTCTGCTGAAGACTTGATAAAAATGATAAATTTGCATCTCTGGGTCCCATTAATGAGAACAGTACAATACAGGACAGTGCAGTTTAGTCCCACTTAGAAGCTTATCATAACTTGATCTTACTTCTGCCTGTGCTTATTATTTCATTGTTACCATTATCCAACATATTTTTTACACTATCAAAAAATTACCCCATTTTCACATTACACAAACTGCTTCACACAAACGAAAGCTGACATATATTGAAAATTTACATTGTCTTAAATGAAACAGTAATAAGTAGAAATCAGCAACTTACCAACATGTTAATAGAAAATTATGTTTATTATCTAACCTTTATCCATGCATTCAAACATGCACAAGTGCACACATACACACACACACTTCATATCCAATATTTAAAACATTAAGTAGTATAACCTAGAGGAAAAGTAATTCTGCAAGGTACGTTTTGATTAATAAGAAGATACAGGTAGTCCTCAAATTACGAATGCCCGGCTTACGAACTCCCATACTTACGAACATGATCCCAATACAGGGGTGATTCAATTTATGAAACTTCAATTTACAAAAATTCGCTAATACAAAATTACCTTTTGTTCCAGCGCTTCGGTATACGTATTGTATACAAACGAAAACCCAGCTCTTACAAAAAAAAAATTACGGTATTTTTTGTAGCATTGGAAGGTGCCGAGTTGCTGACAAAGACATCTGATAGCATCCTGTGCGAAACATGGATAGCAAGCAGTGCAATGTAGTGCAATGTAGCGTGGGGGTAGCATTTCTTTGCTTATATAGAGTTGCTATAGAGTACAGTACATAAACAGATAATACAGTATGTCATATGGAGGTGCTACTGTATGTATATTGATTTAAAAGTATGGCTAACAGACCACCAAATAAGAGGAAGAAATTTATAAAGGATTACTGTACTTCAATTATGTTAATATGGAGGAAGAAATTGATGAATCTATGCTTCAGTCACACACATACCAACAAGAACATGGCAATGACCACAACTCAGGCCCCACACAACAGGGGGAGGAATTTGAAAGTGAAGTCACACCCAATAATCTTGATGATAGCCAGGAATGTTCCATTAATTTCTCTTTGAGTGTTTCATAGAACCCACACCAATCACCTACAGTTGTCTGTAAGTAGAATACATTCTAATATGGATTAAAAAATTTGATACTGTACTGTACTGTACTGCTTTATTAATGTAATTAGGATTAATACATATGCTTATAAGTATTATTCCCACAAAAATTGCTTAAAATTGTGTACTTTTACATTTAGGGGACATTTTCTTTTTCATAGGAACATATCTCTCTTTATATAATGGTAGTAAATCGGGAAAATGGCTTAGATTTACGAAAAACTTATTAACAAAAAGTGTTTCAAGAACTAATCCCTTTCATAAATTGAAGCACTCCTGTATAGGCATCACAAATATCTGTAATTAAAATTTAATTTTATACATTACAGTACGTGGTGTACTACATACTTTATATTGCTTTACATCCCTTTATTTACAGTACAGTATTTACATTATTTGTTATGTATGGGATATTATGGTTATTTTGTATGGACAGGGTTGTGTTTTAATGTAACCTAATTTAAGGAATTAGGGTCCAGGAACATAACCCTTACGTAACTAGGAGACTACCTGTATTACTTTCTGCTCGTCCTTAATTGGTTCTAGGACAGTTCCAATGGCTTACCTTTCTTTTCTGGTTGTCTAAAGATTGCTGAAGAGTGTCTAACTGATTCTGTTTCTGTGTCCTTTCACGTTTCATTCGTTCCACCTGAAAATAAGAGACAAACATCAATAAGACCACAGGGGTTATACAATGAAGAACTTTGTACCAAGAGACAATAAATGTATGCTCAGGTAGTCAAAATAAATTAATTAGGAAAATAATTTGTCACAAGTATTGTCATGTTGGATGAACCAGCATGTTATATTAATGTTTTATAAACAGTTGTAAACATGTGCTGTACACTATCTAGGAAAAATATGCCCAACTACTTGTACAGTACTGAAATTTATGAAATTCATGAAAAAAAATTAAGAAACAAGCAACCAAACAAGGTTCCAACAATTTGGGAAAAAATCTTAGCTTTGTGCACAAAAAAGAAGCATTTTTTTCTTCTAAAAACCAGTTTTGTGATATAGTAGCTCGAACGTGACGTCAGCAAATGCTAAACACTAACTTGCAACTTCTTAAAGTACAGTATCAATTAAGTGGATGAACCTTATGTTAATGTGTCACCAAAGACATCTTAAATATTTTTAAACATGGAGCCTACAAGAAAATTCTCAATGGGTTAAGTTTTAAGTGCAAAGGTGCCTATATACTGTATTCAACAATTAATGCAATCAATCAGGAGCTACTTCCAAGGGTTACAATATTGTACATTAGTACTCACAACACTGAGGAGCATCATGATACTCATAAGGGAAAACCATACATGCACACACCAAAAAATCCATTTATATCCAACAGTACGGTATACACAATAAATACTGGTACAGTTGAACTCAAATTGATTTATTCCCTAGGCAATGACTCACCTGGTTCTCTAGTTCTTCAACTTTGCTCAGGGCTGAAGAACTGAGCCCCTGCTTCCATTCTGAGGCTGACCCAAACCAACTCATGACTGCATCAAACAATCATTTCACTGAGTAACCTTAAAAGAAAGGGTTCAATAATACTTAATTAATGCATTACACATATTGTATCAATTATTTTTTAAACTGTATTTAGAACTTAAAGTTACCTACCCCCAAATAATAAAATAATGAATATCTAACATTAAACGAATGAAAATAAGTCTCAGTAAAAGAGATGGACAGGACACCAACAATTACTACCCAATATTTAAAAAAAAAACAATCAAGTTTTATGATATAGGCTTTAGTTTTTATAATCACATAACAGACAGATGTATTTGATCTTATGAGTTATACTTAGAATCACAATAAATGTGCAGCCAAATAAAAACATCTGATTACTTTTTACATTTGACCATATGTGAACTGAACCAAACTAGCCTAACCTACCTAACTTAAAGCTAACAATCTCGATTACAATCTAGTTAGGTTAAGGTATTTAGGTTTGTAGTCATAGTCGAACACATCACTGATGGTATACAATGGTTAGATGCTCTCACTCATGTGTATATAAGATGATTCTGAACAGCTTTTAAGTTCAAACATCATCTCTGCCATTTGGTAATGACTATGATCATCAAAATCTTTAGTCCTGGAATATTTCATGTTAAAGGGACTGGCGTCTCCATCCAGTTACTTCATACGCATAGTACAGTACCGGTATTTCATTCATATTTTCCACAGTTGTAATTTGGATATTAAGTAATAAAAATCGATACAACTTTTTTATTTTCATTATTTTTTTTTCCTTTTTCTCTACCTAGATGATCATAGATTCTACAATCATAAATCACCTGTAGTGGGCAGGACATGAAGAATGAGGGAAATTGCAGGTAAAAACACAGCAAAAAACTGATCATATGACACTTAAATCAAGTCTCATTTTTACCATAAATATTCTCGCTTCCATGTTCATGGGTATTATTTTAATTTCGGTCATCTGAGGAATTTTAGGTTAGGTTAGATATCTAAATACTGTACAGGGATGACCGAAACGATAATAATACCTTTTCAAGTTCAGGGGCATGATATTCGTCTCAGAAAATTTTGGTTCAATTCCATTACTTTTTTCTGTTGCTAACCGTGTTAACAATATAATCTAGACTTTTGAGCATGTGGATTATCAGCAAAGGGATAATTGAGATCTCAGACTTTGACACCACTTCAAGAGGGCTGCTTCCATTGGTACCAGATATCAAAATATTTTTTTCTGCATTATATGCTGGGAAGTAACATAAGGTTAAGTAGGTTTCATGGGTTAAGTTTGTTAGGTCAGGTTCTGTTAGGTTCTGTCCATTAATTTTCGTGTTTTGCATCGTTCTAGTATCTCATGAGAGTGTCCGGATGTTGAGTGACAAATGTCTGTATACACTAAGATGGTATTTCTCAACTTACAATACATTGCTGGAGTTAACTGGCTGTTTTAATACCATTATTTACAGTAATTAGTACTTCAAAGTTACATTTAAAACATTAATGACACCCTGGGCAACAGCTACTTTCAATGGTCAATAATGACATCCTGGGCAACAATTACACTTTCAATGGTCAAATACTAACAAGCAGATTGATTCTAAAAGAAAATTTTACCAGACTTAAAAATACTCAAGCCACAATAAAGATAAGCATATCGTTATAAAAAACAAAACCACAAATACTTGCTACAAAACAAAGACTGTGTTGGGTGGGAGCGTTGCCCTAGTACAGTAGTTTAAATCTCCCGAGAAAATATATTAAACTTTACCCGATAACCCGTGATAACGTTTATTTTTTTCAATACGGAAACCTTTAATACACAAAAAACATATTCAGACATTTGTTATTTTAATAATTGTACTTGAAAGACTTGTATATACTCACGAAATTTAAGATTTAGTCCAGACACTTGTACAACACACACATACAAACACGATTCAAAAATCCAAACATAGCAAACTCTGTGCTGATTGGTCGGTTTAAACAGGATAACCAACATCATAGTGTTCTACAATTGTTTATCGTCAATTTAAGCGAAAATTAGAAAGAAACAAATTATGTCTTTTTTTCCAAAAATATTGAATTATTATTATTCTTTCGCACTTCACGTTAAACAGAATGCATAAAACAGATTTTTCGATTTGTAAAACTACAAATATTGTTGGCATGCCTGAGTGCCTGCCCGTCGTTGCTGCATGAGAGATTCAAATGAGCGATGTTTGTACGCTCATATTATAATTTGGTATTCATGCTTATGCATTTCATTCATCACACCAATCGACCCCAAGGCTCTATACTTTTGCACAGAATACATAGGGAAAATCTATCAAAATATCTTGAAACCACTCAAAAACTTAAGCCTACAGTGAGCAAAATTAGGTAACACTAAACATAAGCAGTGATGTTGTGGAAAGGGAACGTGAGGGAAAACCCGGAACAGCGTTCCCTCACTTTTTTTTTAGAGTGAACGGCGTCCCATCATTTTTTTTTCCTCTGTGACAGCTTGACACCTTCGAACATTCATATTTTAATGCATAAGTTCCGCTCTATTCTTAGATGTAGAGGAGGGGGCAACACCTCCCTGTCAACAACTGTAGTGCAGTGTCATTCGTGATTTTTTTTTTAACGATTGTAGTGTAAACACGACGACCCCGTCTACGGAAGATGATTAAAACTCCGGGCGTTACCCCACCCTCCCCCCTCCCCCTTCCCCCTCCCCAATCCACCAAAACAATGGAAAAAACAGTTGATAAACTGAACGAAAGTGAAGTGAGTGCAATAGATTTAAGTCATGCGTACTGCCTACTATTGTAATACAAATGACAGACCCTAATCTGATCATTCTAATTTCATTAAAATTCAAACATTAAATGGAATTAATCTGGGTTCGGTCTTTGGTCTCGATATTGTACTGAACCATTTGATCAAGAAATATATACCCAGTGCCTCCAGGAATACAAGGAGACCGCGACACATGAACCATGCGGTGGTCGACAAACTTAAGAAAACCCAGAAATTCGAGACGTGGGTTAGGACAAACGAGAAGCAAGAAAGAGGATGTACAATATGCTAGATCCAGGAACCAAGCAAAGTCAGAGTGTAGAAAGGCTGAACAGGAGTTCCAGACAGTGATTGCAAGCGAGGTTAAGTAAAAACCAAAGGCGTTTTACCGCTCTGCAAAGTCGAAATTAAAAACGCGAGAAGTCTTGGACCTTGAGGCTTGAAGATGGTAGTTACGCAGTTTCTGACCAGGACAAAGCAGAGGCATTGAACAGTCTCTTTTCCTCGGTGTTCACAAGGGAGAATGCGAACAACCCTTCTGCTAAGCGAGTTGTGCAACGAGCTTGCTGATCCCCTGAAGAACCTGTTCCGTAAATGCCTGGACGAGCAAAAGGGCTCCAGTGATTGGAAAATGGCTTATGTGAATTCTATTTTCAATAAGGGCGATCGACACTCACGAATAATTATTGACCAGTGAGCCTGACCAGCATTATGGAACATCTACAACGAAACAACCTTGCAAATGACTGCCAACACGGTTTTATGCCGGGACGCTCCTGCTTAACACAATTACGCAAGGTACTGGATGTTTGGACCCAAATTCTGGAACAGGGTTACAATATCGACAATATGTATACTTAGATTCTGCCAAGGTTTTCGACATTGTACCCTATGAAAGGCTGAAAATAAAACTGGAAAGGTACAGGATTCGGGTAAATGTCCTAGCGTGGATTAGACACTTTCTCTATGATCGCAAGCAATGTGTGGTGCGTGGTGATTGTTGGCACGAAATCGTCATATGTACCCGTGTCAAGCGGGATACCACAGGGCAGTGTATTGGGACCACTGTTGTTTGCTTCATTAATGACATGTCAGAAGCTATACACTCCTCCATACAAATGCTTGCAGAAGATGCAAAGTTATTTAGGGTAATTAAGAACCAAGCAGACTGTGAAGAGCTGCAGAAATATCTCTGTGAGCTTCAAGAATGGACGAAGAAATGCCAGCTAAGATTCAATGTCAAGAGGTATAAGGAGGCGTATCATATGTCCCAATGGGACGAAAAAACTGCATTACTAGAGACTGAATGCGAAGAGGACCTGGGTGTGTATGTTGCCAATGAACTGAAGTTCTCGGGCCATTGTGAGAAGAAGGTGAATCAAGCAACTAAATTATTAGGTCTTATAAGAGTGAAGTGCTTCTCCGCCTGGAGTACTGTTACCCCGCCTGGTGTACTGTCACCCTGCCTGGTCCCCGAGATACGTTAGACGGCTAGGGAAAACTTTGCCCTCAGTTTTCTGGACTAGTGGCTTCTTCAACCTTTAACTGTGACCCCTCGTGGGGAAGGTGTTCGCCAGCTCCAGGTATGGACACTCGACTGAGTAGTCCTCTCTGAGAAGTTTATAAACTTTAATTAGGTCACCCCTTGCCCGTCTATAATATAAGCTAGGCAATTGCAGTTGTTCTAATCTCTCTGGATACATGAGGTGCCATAGTGAAGGCACCAGTCTGGTGGCCCTCCTTTAAACAATTTCTATCAACTGACAGTCTCACGCATATATCGGAGACTAGATGGGGAAGCACATCACTCTTGAATAGCGTTACGAGGAGGACGGACCATATACAGTAGATGTCTAAACGACCTTCTTTTAAGACCTACTAGTTTAGTTACTTGATTTACCGGTTAATGTTTGGACCTTGACTGTTGCTAATTTGGCGGACAATTATGGTATAATTTTGCTCAATATTTTAAGCTTAATAGCCTAAAAAAAATGTGTACACAGCAAAAAAAAAGTACCACGTGGATTATGTGCGAAACAATAAGTCACCACGGACGAGGGATAGTGGAATATGCGATTGGTCCTGTATTATGGTTGTAGCCCTGCTTTCGTTGCCTGAGGGTGTCCTCACATATCTGTTGCCCTACCATAGGTAGATGGAAACCTTTGCCATACAGATGATACAGGCACGCATACCAACCCTCCCGGCGCATCAGGTGATGTATGGATCATTACGGAAGTCAGCAAACCCCCCTGCACCTCGTGTAACAGTCACAATCTAAAGTTTCAACACCCCCCTGGCTGGGTGTTCGCCTAGGCCAGGGTTGAGGTAAGGCTGGGTGATAGGACGCAGACTAGTTCAGCAATGTGGTAACAAGGCACTACGATGGTGAGGTTCACATTCCCTCACCACAACACTCCGAGACTCATAGCGCACGAGCACAGGAAGGAACTTATTACGAACTTTGACATGGCATGAACTTGCATAACAAATTCAGTCAAAACATTGTTGCTACACATAACAAGATTGGAGCATGAAAAACTTTGCCCGGTCCCAAAACACTGGCTTGGAACGACTAGATGCGAGTCCTCATAATTATTACACATGAATCATCAGGGCAGCATTTTTTAAAGGGTGGCCCGCGGCCGAATTTCGTCAACACGTGATGTTTATCTTTTTTACTTTTACCCACTTCACCACTGATCGGCTCGTTAGCCGCTTGGGCAATCGGTCACATCTCTATTACGCACTGTTGGCAAGTACTGGGCATGCACCGGCTCCTGAATGTACCTGAACCCGCTCCAGTGTTGGTCAAGTCTTGTCTTGAAAGAGCTCACACTCGGTGCCGTCACAACACTTTCTGGTAGATTGTTCTGAGAGTTCACAACTCTCACTCCGAAAAAGTTTGCCCTCACAGTTTTCTGGACTTGCGTCTTCTTCCATCTTGAGCTGTGACCCTTTGTGGGGCGAGCGTCCGCCAGCTCTAAGAGGACACTCGGCTGAGTAGTGCCCCTTGAGATGCTTATACACCTCAATTAGGTCACCCCTTGCCCGTCTGCAGTATAAACTAGGCAAGTTCAGGCGCTCCAATCTCTCAGGGTAGTTGAGGTGTCGAAGGGCAGGCACCAGTCTGGTGGCCCTCCTTTGAACATTTTCAACCAACTGACAGTCCCTAGCATATCTCGGGGACCAGTGCTCCAGATGGGGAAGCACTTCACTCTTGAAGATCGTTACGAGGGACGGACCGTCTAGATATCTGAACGACCTTCTTATAAGACCCAATAATTTATTTGCCTGATTTACCTTCTTCTCGCAATGGCCCGAGAACTTCAGCTTATTGTCAACATACACACCTAGGTCCTTCACACATTCAGTCTCAAATAGTGCAGTTTCTTCATCCCGTTGGGACACATGATACGCCTCCTTACCGTTGGTACGCTCCAGGTGCATCCTCTTACACTTCGTGACATTGAATCTCAGCAGCCATTTCTTCGACCATTCTTGAAGCCCACAGAGGTCCTTCTGCAGCTCCTCACAGTCCGCTTGGTTCTTGATTTCCCGAAATAACCTGGCGTCATCGGCAAACATTTGTATGGAGGAGTGTACAACGTCAGGCATGTCATTTATGAAACAAACAACAGCGGGCCATATACACTGCCCTGTGGTACCCCGCTTGTGACAGGTACGGTTGATGATTTCGTGCCATTAATCACCACACACTGCTTGCGGTCATGTAGAAAGTCTTCTATCCACGCTAGGACATTTCCTCGAATTCCATACGCTTCCAGTTTGATTTTCAGCCTTTCGTGGGGTACACTGTCGATATTACCACCCCGTTCCAGAATATGGGTCCAAACATCCAATATCTTGAGCAATTGTGTTAAGCAGGAGCGCCCCGGCATAAAACCGGGGTCGAGAACAGCAAAAGTTTCTCATGCATCACTCCTAACTTGCTATTGTTAAGTGTGCCAACAATGTTATGAATAAAATTTTGTTATGCAGGTGCAAGTCATGTCAAAATTCGTAAAAATTTCCTTCCATGCTCGTGTGCTATGAGCCTCGGAGTGTTGTGGTGGTGGAATGTCTGCGTCCGATCACCCAGCCTTAGCCTTACCTCAGCGAACACCCAGCCGGGGGTGGGGAAGTATCGAAACTTTGGAT